ATGATTCTAATAATTGTTTATTAAATCATGAACGTGAACTAAATTAGACTGCTAATATAGGTAGCCAACATCAATTTCAGTTTTACTTTATGCACAAATTATGTTGCACCCAGAAATAAAAATGTTATTACTTTAATGATTTGGTTTTAATACTAATCAACTATAAATTAAGTGCAGTTGATTATTTAATCTAATGTCTATGTTGATAGGATGCATCTATAGTATTATTCGAGAAGTTATTTTTTATAAATCATTCTCACGTTAATTATGATAGTGATCAATTTAAAAGTTATCATTAATAAGCAAAAACTTGTACTAATTATTACCATTACTAAAATATTTTTATTTTTAATTATCATTATGTGTAGATTCTTATCATTTTTAGGTAAGAGAATAGCATCGTATTTACCCAAACACTCAAAGTTTATTTGTTAGCAACACGAATGGGAAGTCCATTCAAATTGTCTCGATTTTTCTTAAAGGCCTAAGAACCTAAAATAATGTTGTTGGATAGAAATAAAATATAGTAGAAAAGAACTCATCTGTTTCGTAGCTTGATGAGATTTAAACCAAGCCTTTGTTACGTCCTTCATTTTCCCTTCTGAGTTTTCTTTATGGTTTTCTTTTCACCAATACGTCTGGCCTCAACAGCTTTAAGGAAGCTCTTAAGATCACATTCAGTAGTTTCTGGAGCTAAATTCAAGACGGCAAGTTCTCTTGATTCGTAGAAGTCATCTAACTCACTCTCTGAATCACTTGATTCTCACTCAGCAAATGATAGTTCGGCAACATGAGATTCATCCTATAGCTTCTTTGAATTGTCCTCTTCTCTTCCACCGGATTCAAGTACCCGTTTTCTTGAGTCATCGGGATCAAACTTTGAATCTTCTTGGTATGTTTCATCATTGTTGATTTGAGCTGCTGGAATGCTGCTTGGATCCATGGAGAATGCTGTTTGGATCAGTAACAGAATCTCTATATATCATGAGACATTAATTAGTTAAACAATAACATCATAAGACATTGATTTATGTTATATATCTTAATATCTTGTGTACAAAAATGCACTTAGATTTCATGGAATATTCAGTCCAACAGAGACATTTTGTCAGATGCGTGGCTATCAGAGATTTCTCAAGCGTTGTGTGGATTTGTACAAGAAACTCAGTGATCCAAGAATTTTGGGAGGCACTTGAAAGTTGTGGGGAAGATTTTGGAAACGAGGGTTAACAACAATTGCTAGGTTCACTTCGTCTCTCCTCTAAATATATCTCTCTCTGCCATTTTATTCCACCTCTTCCTCCACAACTACTAACTCCAAAATATATTGCTCTGTTTCTTAATAAGTTGTGTTACTCTTTATCCTCTCTTTCTTGAAAGTTTGACTTATAGAAATGCCCTTTTTATATTTTCACGTTTTTATAATATATCAAAATAACTAACTTTTATCAAATACTTTGAAAATAATAAACATAAGTATTGAAAATAAAAAAGAGAATTAAGAAAACCTAAACTAACAACTTTTAAAATATTGGAAACTGAAAGAATCTGTAGTTACTGATTTACAGAGCTAAATATATTCTCTGTTGTTTTTTCTATGTTCAGTAATATTATGGCATGTACCAAATTTTAGTCCAACAAAATATACTATGGCATGTACGTTCAATGAGTACTTTTTTGAACATGATGCATATGCTCGGTTAATGCCAAACTGAGATTGTCACGTTGATATTATTTGGTAAACATTCTTATAGTAAGATATCAAGTAAAACAATTGCATTGATGATGCATGGCTGAAGAATGAGGATGGAGTTTGCTTTTCTTCAAAAAAAAAAGAGGGGGGATGAAAATCGCTAGTTTAATAGATAAAGAAGTATATAATGGAAAAGGGTCGGATCCAGAGAAGAGGGCCACCCCTTTACATAATTATCGGAGTATAGAAAAGAGGGCCACCCTTCGATCTACGGAGAGCAATGGGAGCCATTAAAAGAAGATCAAGTCTTGGATCCAACTAGTTACTCAAATTGTATATATTGGTATTTGCCCGGAGTTCCCGATAATTGGAATCAGATACTTTATGCTTATATTGTTGATGACCATTACTTCCTTGCATCTTCTCTCCTTTTCTTTTTATATCCCAGTTCAATTGTACAGCTGATTCACTTAACTTTCAATTAAATCTTTTGTCAACTTCTAAAATCTTTTTGTATTTTTTATCATTCGAATTAAACCTGAAAATATTTTTTCCTTCTAACATGTTTACAAGAAAAGATAGAACATTTGTCAAATATATTTGCTTTTAATGATTTTTTAAACTTCTTAGAGCATGTTTAAAACATTATTCAGGATATTGAGAAGACTATTCGGCTGAGACTAGATCCTATTTCGAGGAACATGAGGATTTCTGGTCCTTCTCCTGTTACTCCTTTAGCCTTTTGGTTGAGTTTCTTTTGAGGGCATTGTTTAAGTCCCTAGTTTAGGCTCTTCTGAGTTTAGATTACAAGTAGGATCGTTCGCTTGTAAATTAATCTTTGAAATAAAATAATAAGCAGTTAAAAAAAAAATGTTTAATGCTGTCCCTTAGCATTGATCCCTTAGCAAAAGAATTGATAAAGAACCGGTGGGATCCACCGTTTTGTCAAGGAACGAGTGTTATGGAACTACACTAAAAGATGTTTGTTGTAAGTTGCATGCAATGTTTGTGGGCCTCATTGACAAGTGACAGTCTGCGATTGTTTTTTTTTATTTTGTTTTTTTTAATTTAAATAAAAAAATAAAAATTTTCTATGTTTCCGTGTCTGCGTTAAAAATGCTCTTACCAGTAGTTTACTGCTAACTCATTTGTTATTGACCATAACTATACCCTTCAACTCGATGGTAGAGATTAATTAACCTTAGAAAAGATGTTAATCCATCAATTTTAAGATCAATTTCAGTGGAAAACTAAGTCGAAGTTTAGACAAAAGCTATGGCATCATGGTTTTGCTCTCGAAAACCTTAATTGGTTTCAAGAAAATGCTACATAACTAACAGTTTTATAATTTTCCAATTTATGACTATCAAGATGTCCCTGAGCTATATGAGGTTTACAGATATGATGTCCAAAATCAAGATGTCCGCAAACAGATGAATATTGATACAAATCCATTTTCAAAATTGTGGTGTATCATTGATATAACCACACAAACGGAAAATGAAGAAACGCAAGAAAATAGATTGACGTAAAGATCTAACATGGTTTACCAATTAGTAACGAACAAACGAGATATATTATTAATTGAAAGCTTCAAATATTTCAGACAACAATTTAATTCTGCAAACAAAAACCCTAGCTAAAACCTAAAGTACTCTAAATACGGATCAAATCCACCTCCATGGTAATAACCAGAGTCATTATACAACAGTCCGTTATCCAATTCAAATCCATCATAGATGCAATCTTCCTCTGTTTTCACTATCTCATTATCAGTCACACGATGATCAAGATTCTCAGTCTTATCTTGACCAAGTTCAATACAGTCGGACAAAAATCTATTATGGGACAAAACACCCAAAACTAATCTATAACATCCAAAAAAAATCTACCATAGACCAAAGGGTGTAAAATGACCATTTTACCATTAATGAGAGTTCAATGTAAACCATTAGATTAGATAATGCGAGATGTAATCTGAGCCGTCGGATGATAAGAGAAAACTGGGTACAACTAGTATAACTTGTATAACTAAACATGTTATATAACTAGTATAACTAATATATAAATGTTATAATTCATATACAATATGCAACTATTATAATTGAAACGACTAATAATCAGGTTTTACATATGAAATAAACAAACATATATCCTAATTGGTATATGATGACAAAATTTCATCTATTTTATTTGAAGTTTTTAATTTTTTTTGTTAAATTATTACATTACACTCTTAATTTTACATTATATATATATATATATTATATTTAAGGTTTGTTAAGTAAATTAGCTATATTATTATGAAAATATTGGTACAACTAAAATTAAACATATAAACAATTGATATAACTGTTATAATTTTTTATTATATATTAAACGAATATTATTGGTACAACTGGTACAACTTGGACATTTCAAAAATTGGCAAGCCAATTTGGTATTCCATATGAGAATACTATCAAACATCCAAAGTGGTATGTAGTCAGATTTTTTTCTCCTAATATATTTGAAGTTTTGAAAAAAAAATGAAAGTTATTACACAACTCCATAAGTTTATATGATATACCTTATACTTTTAAGGTTTGTTAACTTCTTTGTCCACATATTTTTCGGAAAACATATATGAAATGCATTTTAACAAAATCGATGATCTCATTGTATTAGGCGAAGACATATTTACACATAAAAAGGTGGTACAACTCAGGTAAGTTTAAATTTCATGTGGTACAACTAGTGTTTTTGATTTCACTGTCAAAGTACAACTATGTACAAATCGGTATAACTCAAAAACTAGTACAACTATTTACAAACTGGTACAACTTAAAAACTAGTACAACTATGTACAAACCGATACAACTCAAAAACTCTTACAACTATTATATTGTTACATTAGTTTTACATTACATACCTTATATTTAAAGGTTTGTTAATTAGATTAGCTATATATATTTTTTTTTTAATTATAACACAATCATATAAGTTTGCATAGTCTACCTTATATTTTTAAGGTTTGTCAACTTCTTTGTCCACATAACTTTTGGAAAACATACATGAAATGTATTATAATAAAACTGGTGATTTCATTGTATTAGGGCATATGCATGTACACATAAAGAAATGGTACAACTGAAGTAAGTTTAAATTTTATGTGGTACAACTAGTTTTTTTTATTTCACTGCCGAAATACAACTATGTACAAATCGGTATAACTCAAAAACTAGTACAACTATGTACAAACTAGTACAACTATAATACTAGTGCAACTATGTTATTTCTTCTTGTATTGTGCATCATGTTTTAATCATTATAGTTGAATATTAAGATGAGTAGTTTTACTAGTTGTCTCCTCCTCATTTCCAACTGCCCCCTCATTTTCAACTGCATCATTCTCAAGCTTTTTCTTGCACTTACAATCCTCCTTAGTTGATTCCTCAACTGATATGGCATCACTCATGTCCTATATCATCTACAACAAAACATAGTAACCAGACAAATCATGTAAACATTTTCATTGATTATTCATCATCTGCTTCAGTTGTACTAGTAATACAACTGGTAAAACCACTAGTCCAAATATTATATAAAAAGGTTTAATATATTTTGACAAATTCATGCTTGATAAGATTAAACCAACATTTTCATTGATTCTACATCATCTGCTTCTACAACATCATTTAAAAGCTCAAACAAAAGCCTAATGTAACCATATTACTTGTAAAACTATACTAGTTATATACGTTCTAGTTTTTCTAATTATATTAGTTATACTAGTTATACAAGTTTTAGTTGTACTAGTTATACCAGTTTCAGTTGTACTAGTTATACCAGTAATACTTTTTCGTTGTCGGAAATTTTGTACTTTGAAAGTGAGATTCAATTTTATATGAGAGAAAATGAATTGAGAATGATGAGAAATCGATCGATCTGCGATAAGAACATAAATTTGTACGATTTGGAGAAATTTTTTTGATTTGATTTAGATTATAGGATAGAATTTTTTTGATAAACTAAACATGTTAAAATCTGGGTTTTTTCTTTTATCCAAAAATGAGATTTTTGGATTGTGAGTTGTGATGAATAGATGGAAATGAAATAGTATACGAATGATAAAATGAATAATATTTGATTTTCATTTGATTTTCGAGATATTGTGATGAGAAAATGGAGATTACAATGGTGAAAGTAGTGTTGGAGAAGAAGATGAATTGGAGACTTAGGGATCCAAATTTAGTTGGATCTGGTAAATGGGTTTGGATAGTTAGTGGTTGGGTCTGTAAATAAATAGAAGTTTTAGGTTTTAAGGATATTTTACCTATGTTTCTTTTTTAAAAAGAAAATCAAAATTAAATTAAATTAAGAAGGGTCTATTTTAGATTTTGTGATGTCCTTTTGTCCCATTTCAGCATTTGTTCCAATACAGTCTTCATATAAATAATCCTCCCCATCTTTCTTGTCCACCACGCTATCACCGGTTTCAGAGACGTTGTAATCCAACCAATAGCTTCTAGAACTCTCTGCCTCATCAGTCTTTTTCAATTCCTCGCCCTGGAAATTTAACCGGGCATAGCGACCATACATGGCACTAGCAGCTCTATCGTAAGCCAAGGCGGCTTCAGCTGCAGTATCGAACGTTCCAAGCCAAAGACGCTTCGAGTTTCCGCCACGTTGGTTCACTGGTTCACGTATCTCAGCTACCCATTTCCCCCAAACCCTTTGTCTAACGCCTCTAAACCGGCAAACCGGGTTTTCCGGTCCGCCTTTCCCTCTCATGCAACCTTTCTTCGAACCTTTTGCTTGAACCCTACGGACTCTCTTCAACCCTTCTTCCTCCTCCTCCTTGTCCTTGACCCATCTACTTAACGTCGTATCTACTGGCTCAGCGAGTCTTCTTCTTCTTCTGGAGGGTTCTATGGAAGCAGAGGAGCTCTGGTTTGAAACGTTGTCTTCTTTCTCCATCGCTTACACACACAAACAGTAAGGAGCAAATATGCGGAAAAGCTAAAACGAGAGGCAACTATATAAAAAACAAGAACAGTAAACTAGAGATTTCTGTCTGATGTTATTAAGGTGTGAACAGCTCTCTGTCTCAGATATCGTCTGGACAACATGCGTGGCGCTGGTAGCAATGTACAGCTACGTGACACGTGTGATATTTTGGTGTTTCTTTATCAGCTTTTTATTTTATTTTATTTGTTTGGGGTCGATATTCCTTTACCAGGTTATATATATAGATTTGATTTCTTTGCGATTAAGAATTTGAATTGTTCGTGTTCTTTCTGAAAAAAAAAAACTATATTATAAAATTTTGGGGAACAATTCACAATTGATAACTTCCTTCTTAGGGTTTTGGCTTACAGTGCAAGCAAGCTAGCATTTTGTCATATTCCATTAACTGATAGACGTGTTTGCTTTTGAAGGAAACTTTCTCTTCATTTTCTGATAATAAAATTCTTTGGATATTATATGTTATTGATTTCTTTGCGATTAAGACTTTGAGTTTCATAATTTACTAACTTTTGTGTGGTGGAAGATGTCAAATTAGTGGCTTGTACCCTAAGCCAAAACCCTAGCTTTCAACAAAGGTAAACCTTTTTTTGGTAGCCATTCACACTTCAAATTAAAACCTTCCCTTGTGACATAAAAAAAAAAAACTAAAACCTTCCCTTCAAAAGTTCAAGCTTGTGTCATTTTCAAAAAAAAAAAAAAAAAAAAGTTCAAGCTTGTGGCGCAAGTTACCATTTGACATTTTCCCACTTATTAAAAAAAAGTTGTTTTCTTCCCAAACTCATAAAACTTTATACAGTGATCATATATTACAAAAGTGATGAAGTTAGTGACTATATAAGAAATCGATGTTGGCAGTCAAATATATCGTTATTTAATGTTCTCATGGTCCGACTAGATCAAAAGATGTGTTGAGAAGTTAGATTTCTTTTTTGTCCCATGGTTTACTGAGGTCAATAACCTCAAGGTTTGACATCGATTGGACTCTTCTCATTCTAATATGCGCGCCAAACTTTCAACCTGTAGTTTATTGCCTTTGCAAAAAACAATCTGTCAAAAGTAGTTTAACTGCTAATCCCATTGCAAAGTTTACTATTAAGCCGAGACCGGATCACAAAACTCAGATGGCTCAAGAGACTGCACCATCTTCAGACTGAATGCAGCAGCCAATTTCAAAAACACCCAATAAGGCAAACACATTGATCGTTTTGATCATCGGGAAGCATATGTGAAACTTGAAATTTCATTTCTTGAGTTTTAATGGTAAAATGTTAAAAAGTTATGCTAGAGTTTTGGGACTTGTAGCAACGCGTTAAGAAAAGGTAAGATAACTACGTAGGTATCGTCCTATTTTCGGAATAGATCCATTTTTGTAAGTATACATTGAAAACAAGTGATAGTAATGTTGAAAGACCGCAGGTGATCAGTCTCACGATCGATTGACACTCATCCCATACATGCATTACTTTACAATTTTGGTACTATACCAAATACACATGCTTGATAGAAAATCTATTTTTTTAGCAAAAAAAAATGAGAGAAAATCTATTACGAAACAACTGATGTCATGTACTACTAAACATACACTACTTTATACTGTCGTGACGAAAATGAGTTGGGAGTTCGAACGTGCGTTTACGTACTCTTTTATCGTTTTAGTTTTGAATATGTGAAATTTGGAACAATAAATTCATTAAATCTTAGCCTCACTTTTTCAATAGGTTTTTGAAAATGTTTGTGATAAATAAACTGAAAGCTGTGAAATGATATGTAGTTTTTCTTTTATAAGATGAGGGGAAATGTGAGTTTTTTTTTCCTGAGAAAAGAGGAGAAATGTGTGTTGTTGAGGTATCTTAAGATGATGTAAACAGAAACACCTGGTTAAATATCAGTGGAAATGAGTTTTGAACCAAATATTTTTCTGGAGATTACATTTCATCGATTACCATTTGTTTACTAATTCTGCACTCGAGTGTCTTATTATGTTAGTCAACATTCACTGATTATAATAAATATTAGTATTCTCATTTTGCAGAATCTTTTTGTTTCCTGTTACCAACTTGCGGAGACTAATTTATGATTCACAAGAAAAAAAAAATCTTCATAAAATGATCGAAATCGTTTTAAAAGGTTACATATTCATATATTTTTTTAGAAAATACACTATTTTCCTGATATTTTTACCATTAAAATCCAATTATTAGAAGATATGCCTTTGAGAGTTTAAAACTTTAAGTCTAAAAAATAAGCTAATTGTTTCAAATCATAATTAGAAACACGTTAAAGGGCCAACTTGTCAAATTAAGTTCGGTAACGGTTAAGTATACTGTATATAGGTTCGGCGTCATCATATCTCTTTAAATAGACAGTAACATTAAGTCTCTCAAGACATCATCCATCCAAAGAGTATCCTAGTCTCTCTCTGAAAACATTTCATTGTCATCAAGAGAGAATCGTGTAGGAAAAGATAATGCAGATATCCTCGGCGAAAAAATCGGTCCAAAACATTTCCATTTCCCTCTTGCGACGATGCATGATCTCGTCGACGACGTCTCAAACAGCAACGACGGCTACTTCCGACAAATTTCTAGGGAAGCTCCCTCCGTTTGAGTACATCCTGCCTCCGTACACAGGCCCCTCCGCCGATGTCATTCTTAACAAAAGGAAGGAGTTTCTTATTAGCTCTTCCATCTCTTGTCTCTACAAAAAACCGGTAACGTTTTTAACATGCCTATCCAGCCTGTGCCTATCTATCTTGATATATAAATATTCTTTATTAAAGCGTTACAAAAGAATAAAAAAATGATTATATTCTGTGACCAATAATGGAATTTAAATTTATACTTTGTTTTATCAGATGATTAAAAAAAATTGTTAATATTTTTTTTTTGTGTGAGTTTTGCAGTTGAACATAGTGGATGGGAAGATGCAGTATCTATTCGACGAGAGTGGTCGGAGATACTTAGATGCATTTGCTGGCATCGCAGTTGTGAACTGTGGACATTGTCACCCTGGTGTGGTTACACCTGTCATCGACCAAATCAAACGACTTCAGCATCCTACCGTTCTTTACCTTAACCATACCATTGCTGACTTGGCTGAAGCTCTCGCTTCTAAACTCCCTGGTGATCTCAAGGTCACGTAAACATGCACATGCATGTTATGTTTGTTTTGTTGTTACTTGTCTGATCCAAACTGATTAATTTATTGGAATAGGTGGTGTTCTTCACCAACTCAGGGACAGAGGCTAATGAGTTAGCACTTATGATGGCTAAGCTGTATACTGGTTATCAAGACATTGTCTCTATTCGTAACGGGTATCATGGTAATGCTGTTGCAGCTATGGCTGCTACTGGTCATAGCAGTTGGAAGTTCAACGTGGTTCAGGTAACTACTAAGAGTCTTGTTTTTTTTTAAAATATAATCTCTGTGTTCTTATATTTGGTTCTGTCTTTTGGGCTGGTGGATAGACTGCGACTCATCACGCTTTGAACGCTGATCCATATAGAGGTGTGTTTGGTTCTGATGGAGAAAAATATGCAAGAGAGTTGCATGATCTTATCCAATATGGCACGCCCGGAAACATTGCTGGTTTTCTTTTTGAACCTATACAGGTAACATTAATATATAATACAAAGTTTTGATAGATTTGTAACAACTCTCATCATTGAGTTTGGAAGAAACAATGACAAATATTATTTAAAAAGTGACCAGACCCTTTTGTGCATGAACGTTTTGATATGAATATAGTAATATATATATTATATAATCAGTGTTCCAAAAAAAAAAAAATTTTATAATCCAGCAAGTTGCTAGCTACTACTTTAGGTAAAATAATCTTTACAATATATTACTAATGTGACAAGGGAGTTGGAGGGATGGTGGAGCTAGCTCCAGGCTACTTATCTGCGGCTTACGACATTGTAAAGAAAGCTGGAGGGTTGTTCATTGCTGATGAAATACAGTCTGGTTTCGCACGTACTGGTAACTTCTGGGGGTTTGAGGCTCACAATGTTGTCCCTGACATAGTAACCATGGCAAAGGTTAGAGTTGGATTAAAGTGTGCTCTTGCTTGATATTAAAAGTGCTGATTTGTGTGTTTCTTTGATGATGTGGGGAACAGGGGCTTGGGAATGGGTTTCCTATTGGAGCAGTTGTGACAACTCCAGAGATTGCTGGAGTGCTGACAAGTAGATGTTACTTCAACACATTTGGTGGGAATGCTGTGGCTACTACAGCTGGTCTAGCTGTTTTGAATGTGATTGAGAAAGACAAGCTTCAGGAAAATGCAGCAATGGTTGGATCTTATCTCAAAGGAAAACTCAACCAGCTGAAAGAGAAGCACGAAAGTAAATCTTTCCACGGTCTCTCTTTATAGTTTGCATACGCTTTTCGTTTGTGTTTATGCATATATGATTACGTGATGTAGTTATTGGGGATGTACGGGGAAGAGGACTGATGATTGGAGTAGAGCTGGTGAGTGATCGCAAGCTTAAGACTCCTGCACCTGCTGAGACTCTGCATATCATGGATCAAATGAAAGGTTTGTTGGTCTTTTTGCGTTTTTTTTTGCTAGTCTACAAGGTGAAACCCCTCCCTTACTAGTCTGTTATGAAAATGTTTTTACAGAGCTTGGTGTGTTGGTTGGGAAAGGAGGCTACTACTTTAGGTAAAATAATCTTTACAATATATTACTAATGTGACAAGGGAGTTGGAGGGATGGTGGAGCTAGCTCCAGGCTACTTATCTGCGGCTTACGACATTGTAAAGAAAGCTGGAGGGTTGTTCATTGCTGATGAAATACAGTCTGGTTTCGCACGTACTGGTAACTTCTGGGGGTTTGAGGCTCACAATGTTGTCCCTGACATAGTAACCATGGCAAAGGTTAGAGTTGGATTAAAGTGTGCTCTTGCTTGATATTAAAAGTGCTGATTTGTGTGTTTCTTTGATGATGTGGGGAACAGGGGCTTGGGAATGGGTTTCCTATTGGAGCAGTTGTGACAACTCCAGAGATTGCTGGAGTGCTGACAAGTAGATGTTACTTCAACACATTTGGTGGGAATGCTGTGGCTACTACAGCTGGTCTAGCTGTTTTGAATGTGATTGAGAAAGACAAGCTTCAGGAAAATGCAGCAATGGTTGGATCTTATCTCAAAGGAAAACTCAACCAGTTGAAAGAGAAACACGAAAGTAATTTTTTCCACGGTCTCTCTTCATAGTTTGCATACGCTTTTCAATTGTGTTTATGCATATGATTATGTAATGTAGTTATTGGGGATGTACGGGGAAGAGGACTGATGATTGGAGTAGAGCTGGTGAGTGATCGCAAGCTTAAGACTCCTGCAACTGCTGAGACTCTGCATATTATGGATCAAATGAAAGGTTTGTTTTTTTTTTTGCGTTTTTTTGTTTAGTCTATAGGGTGAAACCCTCCCTTACTAAGAGAAACTAATCTGTTATGAAAATGTTTTTACAGAGCTTAGTGTGTTGGTTGGGAAAGGAGGCTACTTTGGTAACGTGTTTAGAATCACACCACCTCTCTGCTTCACTAAGGACGATGCAGATTTTCTCGTTGAAGCCATGGACTACTCAATGTCCAAGATTTGAAGAAGAGAAATATCAATATAATGCTTGTAATTTTGCTTTGAACAATAAAACTGAGTGATGAGCCAACATCTTTGTTGCGTCTCAATCACTATATTTTTCTTCATGTATCATTCGCTTCAACATGAATACATTGATACAAACATATCAGGTCACCTTCGTAACACAGAGATAACTTGACCAGGACGAACACATGAACCGGACTGCTTATACCACCTGACAATATCATCAAGTAGATTCAGATCCTGGACTTCCATTAACATACTTATACCTGTTTTGTTCCATTATCATTTGAGTTGTTCCATGAACAAACCCTCATGAGAAACTTGGTTTAGCCATTTAAACATAGCTAAAAACATTTCAAGATCACGCCATCTTAACTCTACTAAGTCTTGCTAATCACCAAAAGGAATGTAATGATAACTAATTAACTACCACTATGCATTACTGCAATTAAGTTTCTAGTCTTTTTTTTCATCAACATTAAGATTCTAGTCTCAGCTGCCCATTACAAGTCCTAATAATATGACAAGAAACTGATTAGTTTCCCATTTCTCACTCCCAGAACCCACAAGTTGTTGTCCAGGTGCTGAAGTCACTCACCAAACCAATAGTCCACACAACTCAACAAAAGGTGTAAAGAAGATAGAAGACAAATAAAAAATCTCATAGTCTCATCAAATCGTTTTAGTATATCATTACCAAATCCTAAAACCAAACAAGATGAAAAGAAAATGTACATTCAGTTGCACACCATTATATTCACAATGAGAAAATAACGAAGCATGCAAACTTATGTTAAATCATTTTCCTCCCTCCTAACATACTTTGCTGCGCCTGAGACCCAGACATGCCTTGAGAAGCGTTATTGCTGTTGGTAGACTTATTATTATGCTTCCCCTCTCCGCTACCAAACACATCGAGATCTTCGAACAATCTGTACGATGGAACAAACGGCTTCTGTCCTCCAGAGACACCTGGATTGCTTGCAGCTGAAGTAGCCTGGGGATCTCCGATTCTAGCAGGGAATGAGTTGGACTGCTGCAGTGTTCTCCCGGCACTTGTCTCTGTGTATGACGCAGTTGCATTAGCCCGTGGAGTGTAGTATGCATTTGCTGATGTTGAAGCCCATGGCGGAGGCGGATATTCAAAAGGACTCTGAGGTCTAGCTTGCGGTTGCATCCGGAACTGTGCTTGCTGTTGCGGTTGAGAATAGCCCTGTTGTGTTTGAATTTGTTGCGGTTGAGAATAACCCTGTTGTGTTTGAGGCTGTTGCAGTTGCGGTTGAGAATAACCCTGTTGTGTTTGAGGCTGTTGCGGTTGAGAATAACCCTGTTGTGTTTGAGGCTGTTGTTGTTGTGGTTGAGAATAACCCTGCTGTGTTTGAGGCTGTTGTGGTTGAGAATAACCCTGTTGTGCTTGAGGCTGTTGTGGTTGAGAATAACCTTGCTGTGCTTGAGGCTGTTGCTGCTGCTGTTGATAATAACCTTGCTGTGTATGAGGTTGCTGCTGCTGCTGCTGTTGAGAATAGCCATGTTGTGTTTGATGCGGTTGTGGTTGAGAATAGCTCTGATGTGTTTGAGAATGTTGCTGTTGAGGTTGCTGGGGTTGTGCCCAGGGAGCGACATAGCTCTCAAACTGTGGCACAGCCTGCGGATAGATATGGCTGTTTTGATCTGAGACAGTAGGCGGAGGAGCAGGTTGAGATGATGGAGGTGAAGGAGTTGACGTCAATGTCAAACTCAATAAGTCAATCATGTCTTGCTCCCTTGAGGTGTTCACTGGAGGCGGCGGGTCAGGCAGGGCAAGAGCAAGATCATTAGGAGACTCTGAACTGGCTGGGTCTGTAGTCACAGAAGCTGGTGGTTTAGTATGCCTGAAACAACACAATATGTCAAATTATTAAAACTTAATGATATGCACCGTTCCTGAATCAAATTGCAAACATACCTTCGGGCTAATTGCGCAAACTCATCTTCCTCCTCGTCTTCCTCATCAACTGGGTTTTTCCCCGTAGAAACAGTGGCGGGTACTGGGGAACTGGAACCAGCTATGGAACTAGAATCTTTAGCTTCGGAAGATTTTGGGCTCGAATCAGCTGGTTTTATCGCTAGAACTGGCAGAGGAGAACCAGAAGCTATTGCATCATGTCTAGCAAGCAGAATTTGAAGACTGTCATTTAGATCGAGTCCCCGGCCTAAAAGTTCATCATCACTGCCAAAATAAACCAAGAACTGTTTAGCACAACGTCGGAACTCTCAAACTCAACACATTCTAATATATTGATTCCTGAAGAATAGAAGACTAACACAGTGGAGGTTAGCATCTGCATAAGCTTTTTCTGATTGGAACGACAACGCTCGACCAAGTCAACAATGACTTCATCTTTCACAGCCTACATAATACGAGAACCATAGGTAAAAACAATTGACTGCATTTCCAAAACCTCAATATAGCTGTATAACACATTACAATACCTCACGGTCACTGGTATCCACAGCGCTTAGCATGTCTCCTAAGAGATCCATCACGTCCCTCATGGCCTCAATACTTGACAAGCTACAGTTTAACAAAGAAAAGAACATTGAAATTTATGGAAAATTTGTACAAAATCTAAAAACTGCCAGTCCAACAATCTACTTACCTTAGGCCCTCAATCTCACTTGCCATTGCTTCATCAAGCCTTCTAGAGGAACCACTGGGCATTCCGTAACCTACTTGAGGTATTCCATAACCCGCTTGCGGTGGTCCATAACCAGCATGCGGTGGTCCATAACCAGCATGAGGTGGTCCATAACCAGCTTGAGGTGGTCCATAACTAGCTTGAGGTGGTCCATAACCAGTATACGGTACTCCATAACCAGCTTGCGGTGATCCATAACCCCCCTGAGGCAGTCTTACAGCTGGATGACTCACTGGCGGAGTTATTACAGGGGACGCATCAGGTGAACGCCGAGGAAACTCGACTCCAGAACGCTGCGACATAGACGAGCAAACATAAGAAAAAGAATTTCATTCAAATGATCATCTGCGTAAGCAGATGGCATGTTTATAGAAACTCTCAAGTAGATCAAAAGGGCAGAGTAGCAAGACTCAACGGCTCTAAACTAAGTTTCATTTAGCACAGGGTTAAGAACCTGTAAAAGGTGTAGCAGCAAATAGCAGCCTTTTTACTAGTATGTACATAGAGATCTCAAGTAGATCAAAAGCGCAGAGTAACAAGACTCCACAGCTATAAACTAAGTTTCATTTAACACATGGCTAAGAACTCGTAAGAGGTGTAGCAGCAAAAAACCAACCTCTTTACTTATACATACTACTTGAAAACGAATCACAAGCAAATCTATGAAAGGTGAAAAAGTATATTAAGTAAATTTCAAGCAAGCTACTCACCCTTAACTCATCGTACGCATAATAATAATGCGGATACTTCCCCTCTGGACCTCCAAAAGCCTGCTGCCACGAGTCCAGCATGACCAATATTTTATCCCTCACTTGCATATCCGCCTATAACAAAAAATCCAAAGGATCATCAGCAACATGAAAACTCACCACAATGAAAACATGTACATACTACCTTCTTCTTCACAATCTTGACCATCTCCCCCAATATATTCTTCTCCGCAACTTGATGATGCAAATAATCTCCACAGTTCTTCACCAACGCCTCCAAAAGCTAACAACACATTAAAAAAAGTCAAAAAACAAAAGAACTAACCAAAGAACAAGATCCCTAATCTGAATTCTCAATACCGTGAGTGCAAGTTGCTGAACTCTGGGACTCTTATGCTGCAACCTCTTTTTCAAAGCTTTAACCACATCCTTCGCTTGCCTAAAGAGCAATTCAATAGCCACAAAAAAAAAAAGTTAACATCTACAACGAATTGCAGATTAGCCAATTTCTTCTAAGATAATTCTAGTGAACAACAATCAAAACAGTTCCAGTGAACCCTAACATCTAAGATCAGAAGATCAAATACCAGTGAAGAGAATTGACGGAATCGCAGATTTCCATGTTAGTGGTCCAATCAGGACCTAGAAGAAGATCGCTCGTTGCTTTATCAACCGCCACCGTCGCCGAAGCTGAAGAAGACGCCATATCTTCGCCGCCGAGAGAGAGGGAACGAATAATCTTTCCAGCGCAGGCAGAGAGATGGATAGAGAGAGAGAGACGGAGTCAGCGGGAATCTTTGCTTTTTTATCTCTCACGAAGGAGGAGGATGAAGAAAATTAGGAAAATTAAAATCTTTTTTTTTTTTAATGATCTTTTTTTTTTTTAAGGACGGCAACCTCTGCTCTCCACGCTCGTTTTTAGTGCGTGACGCCACGCGGGTTTATAATGTTGGTCAACGTGAAAAGTCAGGTTATAATATAGTACTCATAATTATAGGTGGATATTGGATAATGCGTTTTCAATGCTGTTTTTTTTTGTCACTACGTTGCCTTTTATATGCTGTAACCTGTTAGTGATTTTATAAAAAAATTAATTATTTGTATGGTTAATTATTTTATACAACCGTTACGTGTTGAAATGCCGAGCTAAGTTGTCTATATAAAATTTAAGAAGTACATAATAAAAGTTGGGATAAAAGTTATTTAGATGTTGAGGACACGTACGTATTTTGATCGGTGCCACTTAGATAAAGATGAAAAGGGAGTTATTATTATTTTAAAATTATACATCAAAATAAAATTTATAACTTTTGAAATGTATCCTGACCAGAAAAAAGATGTTTATATTCCACCAAAAAGATGTTTATAAAATTTATAACTTTGGAAATGTATCCTGAACAATTGTAGAAATAAATATCCACCATTATTAAAGAGAAAGGAAAAGTTACAATTCTTTTTATACTTTAATAGTTTAAAAGTAGGTATATGCTCATATTAGCATATATTTTTTCTTTTGTGCTATTTTGTGCTAAAAGTCTTCCAAAACTTATTTATTCTTCAAAAATATGATAAAAATCACTGGAGTATTGTAAACCAAAAAAAAAAAAAATTTATAGAGGCACAAGATTTGGAGAATATTATCTCTAAATACGATTATATCTTCTGTAATATTAGTTTAACTATCATCAATATCTAGTTATTCCAAATAATTGTCGAGTCATTAACTAGAAATGACCAAAGTAAGACATAGGATTAATAAACAAAACAGAAACAAAATGCTCAAAGAAAATTTATAAATGGCCGGTGGATATGTGTCCAGAACAGTTGACTTCGTGGTCGAGATGGTTGAAATGTGTGATCTAAGTGACCAGAGTCAGCTCCAGGGAGCTAATGCAAGCCAAATATGATGTAAAGATAGAGATATAGGTCGAGGAAACTGGAAGGATGGTCGAGAGAAAAAAAAAGAGATTAGGTGGATGATAAATAAAAGATGGTTCAACGGTTGTTCCGATAGTCGAGAAAAAAGACATTCTAAGTTTCTAACGGCTGTATTTGAGTAAAGTGGCTGAACTAAAGGTGGGCTACTTGTCCAGATGTGGATCACGCTTGCGTAGAATAATATCTAAAGAAAACCTATTTGCGAGTTTAGGCAGTGTATCTGCTAAGCCGCGCAGTGTTCAATTTTTCTTAATGGTTATGGTTATTGTTGCACGTTTGTTTTGATTGGTCTACTTCTTAATTTTGTACATAAATATGGCTACTTTTGCAAATTATCCATAGTTTTAACAGTTTCTCCGACTACAACAACATGTCTTCCAGAGTTCCGGTTTGAATATCCAAATTAACGCCGGAATTAAAACTTCTCCACCGATTGAACATGACAAGATCATCATCATGGCATCGAATGTCAAACTTCCTCAGAAAGTATCGAAAGATCCCTCACTCCTCCTTCAAAACGAAATGGAACGAAACTCTAAAGCACAAACACGCGATGGAACAACTAAAAACCGGTCTTGTCTCAAATCCAACCTCGAGCTCCAACGTTAGCGTCATACAAACACTCACAAACTCATTCCACATCCATAACTGCGACCCCACGCCACAAGCCTACAGATTCGTCATCAAAACCCTAACCAAAGCCTCTAACCTCGAGAGCATCGCCTCTGTTCTCAACCACCTAGAAACCTCGGAGAAGTTCGAAACGCCAGAAACGGTATTCAAAGATGTAATCTTTGCTTATGGGTTTTCCGGAAAGATCGATGAAGCGATTGATGTGTTCTTCAGAATCCCGAAGTTCAGGTGTGTCCCTTCTGCTTACACGCTAAACGCTCTCCTCTCTGTTCTCGTGAGGAGGAGAGAGGGTCTTGTGATGGTTCCTGAGGTTTTGGTGAAGGCTAGTGGAATGGGTGTGAGGTTAGAGGAATCTAGTTTCGAGATATTGGTTGATGCGTTGTGTAAGATCGGTGAGGTGGATTGTGCTAGTGAGTTAGTTAAGTACATGAGTGATGAGAGTTATATCGTTGATCCTAGTTTATACTCTAAGTTGTTGAGTTCTGTCTGTAAACATAAAGACTCTTCGTCCTTCGATGTTATTGGATATGTGGAAGAGCTGAGGAAGATGCGTTTTTCGCCGGATTTGCGTGATTATACAGTTGTAATGAAGTTCTTGGTCCAAGGAGGAAGGGGGAAAGAAGTTGTGAGTGTGCTTAACCAGATGAAGTGTGATCGAATAGAGCCTGATCTCGTTTGTTACACGATTATATTACAAGGAGTTATTGCGGATGGGGATTACTCGAAAGCAGACAAGTTGTTTGATGAGCTGCTCTTGTTAGGTTTGACTCCTGATGTTTATACTTATAATGTGTATATAAATGGGTTATGCAAGCAGGATGATATCGAAGGCGCGATTAAGATGATGTCTTGTATGGAGAAGGTAGGTTGTGAGGCTAATGTTGTTACGTACAATATATTGTTAAAGGGGTTGGTGAAGGCTGGTGATATGAGTGGAGCGAAGACTCTTTGGGAAGAGATGGAGAGGAATGGGGTTGACCGGAACAGTCACACGTATGATATTATGGTTGGTGGGTTTATTGAAGTAGATGATGTTGGTTATGCTCAGGGTTTGTTAGAGGAGGCGTTTAGTAGGAACTTGGTTGTTAAGAGATCAAGAACAGAGGAGGTTATTTGCAGGTTATGTGATAAAGGTTTGATGGATGAAGCAGTGGAGCTTTTAGCACACTTGGTTTAAGTTTTTTTTTATAGATGTAGACCAACTCTATTATACCTGCTATTTTTATGTATTTGTTCTTGTGGATGACAGTTAGAAAGTGATCAGACTTTCAAAGCAGAAGAGAAATCTTACAAATGTATGTATTGGTTTCTTCAAAGGTTTAATACAAATTGTGTTTGGTTTTGATGTCCATCAGAGTGCATGTCAATTTGTCTTTCTAAAAATGAAACTGTTTAATGGCAAATGAATTAGACCGTCTTATCTGATGCAACCATTTCAAACACTAATCAATAAATGTTTAACACTTAAATCCTGAAAATCATTTGAGCCTCGCACACCGAAATATAAAACATATTATACCTAAATAATTAAGGCCAGGCTGGACCATAATAAAATACATGTGAGCTTCAGAGTGGGACAAGGAAAAGCCAACCTAGACAGATTGACATGGATACAAACCAAAACTCCTGTGTTGTATTCTATTTTGAATAACACAAGTTTAATCCTCACAACCCAAAAAAAAAAAACTGAACTTCAAAGTACCAAAACACAGCAAAACGTAAAAGAAAAACTCAATACAGCACCAGCAAAAACATATGGTTCTTTACTACATAAGATTGCCATCGAAAGTCATGAACTCCCATATAGTTCCAAGAACATCTCGGAGCATTTCCAAAACACAACCCCTCTCTATGTTCTGTTCCTGCAGAACCACAATTATAATAATTAGTAAAAGCCTTACTTTTTTTTTTTGCAAAAGAATAAAACCCTTCCAATGTAATTATAAGAAAATGCAGAAGCACAAGAATTTTACCTGTAGCTTAGTGTTCATCTCTTTAAGTATAAGAGTCACCCCCTTCTCGATTTCCCCTGTTCCATACCTCACTGAATCCATCAGTCTCTCTAACCTTAAGCCCAAGAGTATGCTTTTTGTAGATAGTTACTCTAACGTGGCAAACTTCATATATTCTGTAACCACCTTCCAATGAAGTTGTACCAAGCGGCCACCTTAACCTTCCTTTCACATTCAGATCAACAATTGCTGAACTAAGTAGTCCTTGAATGTTACTTACCTCGCTCTCCTGTCCATCATAAAAAATTGTACTTAAGCTAAGTACAAGAGAAGCATGTCTATTGTCAAAATTAAAAACTTACCGTGAGAGTGTTTATTATCCTCTTGCCGCGAGCATAAGCCTCATATCAAGACTCTGATCAATGCAAGAAACATCAATAACCAAATGTCTTACAGGATTAAGCTCGGCCTGTGCAACAAAGGGTTTGTAAGATGTTAGTAAAGTAAATATTATCAATGATGATATGTTCTCAAAGACTTGCCTTGTACATGCTGAGACGTCCATCTTCGCCCACGGTACATTTACAATTAATGACTCATTGGGACCAGTAATCTTCACAATGTATTTTTCTTTTTCTCCGTTTATACAGAACTCATGCCTTGGTATAGCCTTGGACTTGATGTTTTGTATGAAAGAGGTTGGTACATCTGTAGAGAATATCCTTCTCGAGTTTCTTAAGGAATAATCAACCACAGGACCAGCTTTGCGCCTAGTTTATACGTTATAAAGTGTTATAAAACATAGAAAAATGAGGTATTGAAAACAAAATATAAGACTAATATATAGAAATGCTTACCCATAAAAGACTATTTTTCCAAACCTAGCAACCAATCTCAGTTTAGCATTATCTGAAATGTCATGATCCTCCTTTCTCTTATTAGCTTGCTCATATGCGAACACAAGGCCATCAGCAACCTTCTCAGCTATCAAGAGCCACCTAGTTCTTTCTTCTTCTTCGCTTTCTTCAGTAATCATATTTAACAAATAAAAACCAAGCTAAAAAAGACTCACTACTGTTGTTCATTTCAACATCTAGATGCTGTTTGTTTCGTCAAAACACATAAACACAAACCTTTTTGGAAGTCCTTGTTCATTAGTGCCAAAGCCTTTAATCCATTTATGCAGTCATAGGAATCGGTGGAAAGGGGCACAAGTTCAACAGAGGGAGGAACCTCGTCCTCAATTCCATTTGAACTAATAAGAAACCATTTGGTGAAGTGTTTTCCTGAATATACAATTCTATTTCCTCGAAAAGAGGTACTTTTGAGGTCATCAATGTTTCTTCTGAATTTTTTAACCAGAGAATCTGCTGGAAAAGGGGAGGGTTGAACTGGATCCTTCAAGTTTCGCTTATGTGGAGGAATATATATAAGACATGTCGTCTGAACCTGAAACTCAACAACAAAAAAAGAAATGTAAACACGAATCAAGAACAATGAAATAAGCTTAATTAAAGATAAATCAACATCTTAGGAAAACTACAGAAAACGACGACTGCCGAATATTTGGTGAATACAAGATATATCCAAAAGAGCAACGAGCTCGGGAAGTATACACGAAACAGATTTTGAAATGAGGATAGAGAAGGTGTATATAAATAAGAGAACGTCTTCTGATCTTCCTGCATGCAGCGAACTCTAAGAGTCTCTTTGAATGTGACGCATCGTTTCTTTCAAAACGTAATCAAACATTCTTAAGATCAGTATAATAACATACTTTTCATCAACCATTTTCTTGTAAAAAGTAATTAACATTTTAGAATGAATGCCTTCGGAGCCGCATGCAAATATTCAAATGATAACATTATTTTTCCAGTCGTGGTCTATCCATAAGATTTGATGTTTTCGATTTGGTATGTCTATATTCCGAAGCGATACATAGCGTGAGATGCATGAGCATTTCAACTATTACATATTCTGGAAAATATACATATATATATGTAAATTTTCAACGAAAATAATAACAAAACTGTTTAAAATGTATTTTTCAACCAAAAATAGCCAAGTCACTGAAAAATCAACAAAACCGTCTATTAAAAAACTAATAAAATATTACATTTTCGACATTATTTTCAAAATTAAAAACTGTATTATAAATTTCAAAACTACAACACTTATACTTTAAACTTTTAAACCAATTACATTTGTTGGCAAAAAAAAAAGCATTATGTTTACACGTAAAATTTTGAAAATTAACTTACATGTTAAAAGTGATGAGTATTTTGTACCTTTATTATCGGTAAAAATAACGATGTGTTATTAATAAGTAGTTTGAAGATTTAAATAGTGAATAATAATTCTAAAGTTGAAAGTGTATTATTTTAAAAGTTAAAAATGTTTCCCCAAAAAAAAAGCATGCAAATGTGCGAAATTCACAACCTATAATAAATACAATAAATATTTTTCTAAAATCCTTCCTCCTTTCACGGTCCAATTTTGTTCCCATCCACACTCTCTCTCTCCTCCGTCTTAAACACCCGCCGCTCGAATCGAATCCACACACAGAAAATCCGTTCCCGGTTCACGAAACCGCTAAACCATCATCACACGTGGCCGTCCACAAACTCAATGAACACAGAGAGAGAGAGATAGTTAGTTATAAAGATTAGCTTATAGCTCAATTTCAAAGCTCCTTTCCACCTAACCATCACCTCGAGAGCTCATCAACAATGCCGTTGACGAGGTACCAATCTCGCAACGAGTACGGATTAGCAGATCCGGATCTATACCAATCCGCCGATAAAGATGACCCCGAGGCTCTCCTCGAAGGCGTCGCCATGGCTGGTCTCGTTGGCTTATTGCGTCAACTCGGTGACCTCGCCGAGTAAGTTTACTCCTCTCTCTATCGTAATTGAGCTCTAATCGCGTTGAATTTCGACGAATCTGATCGGAAATTGACTTTTTATTTTTTTGTGATTGAAGGTTTGCTGCTGAGATGTTTCATGATTTGCACGAAGAAGTGATGGCTACTGCTTCTAGGAGTCATGGTCTTATGGCTCGTGTTCAACAGCTTGAAGCGGAGTTTCCTTTTGTTGAGAAGGCGTTGCTGTGTCAGACCGATCATTCACCGTTTTTTTCTAATAAAGGTTGGATCGTAAGCTTTGATTGTTAATCGGAAGGTAGCTTGGTTTAGTGTAGATAACCGTGTAATCAGTTTTGGTTTAGTTTGGTTTAGCTAGAATGTGGATCATAAGCTTGATTACAATTGTACTCATCTCACAGAGAATATCAATGTGGCTCAATGATCCTCAATTGATCCTTTCTTTGACCTAAATATTGGTGTTCAGTGAATCAATTTTGGTTTAGTTTGGTTTAGCTAGAATGTGGATCATAAGCTTGAATCCTCAATTGATCCTTTCTTTGACCTATATATTGGTTGTTCGATATTTGATTGTTTCTTCTTTGCTATGAACGTTTATGATCTTTTCAGCTGTTGGATTACTTGAAGCGAGCTTTTGTGACTCTGTTTCAGGTGTGGAGTGGCATTCGAATCTACAACTGGAGCAGAGTGTGGTTACACGTGGTGACTTACCCCGTTGTGTGATGGATTCGTATGAGGAATGTCGGGGTCCCCCACGGCTATTTCTTCTGGACAAGTATGGTTTACATTGTTTTCTTTTGTTGTTGTATTCTTGTGAGAGTTGAGGGTGATGTAACATCTTTTTGTATGGTTTTGATTAGGTTTGATATTTCGGGAGCTGGAGCATGCTTGAAACGCTACACTGATCCATCATTTGTTAGGCACGAAACATCTTCGTATGAAGCGTCGTGGGATGATATTCAGAGAGAGAAGAAATCACAGAAAGCAAAGGTCAGTATTACTTCCAGAACATGGAGGCTGTACGTAGGTTGTGCGTTTCATTGTGATCCTTCTTTAATTTTTTGTCGCCTTAACGTTAGAAATATTCTTATGAGGATTCTCATACTTTTGGCGTTTTAAGTCTGTAATATTATCTTCCTCTGTGCACTTCTCAGTCTCTCATAGTTTTTCCTTATCATCTCATGCAGAGGAGAGCATCTCACTGGAGGAATGGAGGAACACCCGAAAATGCACTAACATCACATGCCAAGTGGGTATTATCTATGTTTTTCTTGTGTGTTTGTTATTTCTGTTATGCTACGTATATATATATATATATTTGTTCCTATATTGGTATTGACTGTGACTGACGATGGCTATTGGCTACTTCAAATCATTCGTCTGGCACAGATTGCATGAATTATTTAAGGAGGAGCATTTAGAGGCTAATCATTCAGATCCAGCGCGAGTTGTAAAGCTGAAAACTAGAAAGCTGGATGGCTATTCCCTTATTTCAAAATCAGGAGAAAGCTACATGGGGAAATTTGTGCAGACATCTGTCAACAATGAAGCAGCTTATGAAAATATCTCCCTGGACCAGCCCGAATTGTTGACATGGAATATAGATAGTTCTAAAGACGTGGTAACCGATATACCTGAAATCAGTATGGTGGATGCTCCGGAAAGGTCTCACGGAGGAACCAGAACAGAGGTTTCATTGCTAAATGAGCAGGAAAATGCGGGTTCTGTTGAAAAAGACATAGAGACTGTGCCTGAATCTACTTACAATGGGTTCCCTGGTACGACTTTAATAAAGGATCCACAGACCAATTTGAATGGAAAGCAAGGATTTCTTCAACAAAGGAGTTATTCTGAAGATTTAACCAGTGAGGCTGACAATTATGTGGATGCACCAGCCACCATGGAGTCAGAAACAGAAACAGATGATGAGTATAGTAGACCTAAGCATAGATCAGATTTGTTGAACGATGGGAATCATCATACATATTTTGATGTGGATGAAAAGAGGGAAGACCCACCTCAATTTTCTATTCTTCATTCAGTTGGAAACACACCAGTATCAGAAAATAGCAAAGGCTCGTTTGGGAAACGGAGCTCTAATTTTTCTTACTCGGACACTGCAAGCGTATCCATTGATGATCAATCTGACGGAGAGAAATTTTCTGGACGTTTACCTTCTACTTCTAGTATTAAAAGTGAGCTAGTTGGTTCCTCGTCTCACGCAACTCCTGAAGCCAACAAAGTTTCTCATGATTTTAATGTTCAGGAATCAGTTAGTAGCAGCAATGCAGATGGCCAGACATCTTTTATTTCCAATGATTTATGTTCAAGTCCAAGGGCAGCCTCTCAGAATGCTGAATCATCTTCACTGACTGTTCAATCTTTAGAACCAGAAGTCGTTGAAACGTCTGCAGAACTTGTTAGAATTAATCCGGTTAAGGGAGGCGATGACAGAAGCGAGGTGGATCCAGTCGATTCAAGATCTGGTGCATCTTTTGATGTCAAAAACTCTAACTTTCCTTCTGAGACTTCATCAACTAGTTCAATTTCTGAAGGAAGCAGATATGATACGGCCATTCAGAAGAACTGTATGGTTGATTATTCTTCAGATATAGCAAACTCAGGCACTGGTCCTCAAGTGTTTGATGATAGTCAAACAGGCGAACAGTTACCTGTCGCTGATAATGATGTTGAGACAGCAGCAAACTCAGGCAACGATACTAAAAGCTGTGATGGCAGTAGCCTAACAGGAGAAGTGTTACCTTTCTCAGCTGGGATGGAGATGGAAGTTTCACCTGATATACCCTCTAAAGTCTGTCTCCCTGGTACAATAGATGAAATTCACTTAAAAGATACTCTTGATGACGAAACAGATTGCGTTACAGTGACTAATGCAGTTTCTGGCGTTGATTCTCGAAGCGCTGATGTTGACAATGAACAGTCTTGTGCCTTTGGTACCATTGCTGAGGTCTCTGTTTCAGAGTCCCATGAAGACACTCTGGAGAATGGAGAGTTCGTGCCTACTGAACTTGATTGTAAGCTGACTTCTGGTTTTAACTCTGGAGGAGAGAAATCTGTGGGAGATGCTTCACCTACTTGTAGCAAATTCGAGGAACAGATCTCTGATTTACCTACTGAAATTCATTCCAGTTACATCCATGATGAAGGCGACCTTCCTGGGCTGGACAACATATCCACAGACATTGTCCCGAAGGAAGACCTTGTTGTATCTGATAACCACGCTGACATTTCCAGTGATGATGAAAGCGATGCTCTTAGCCTGTCATCTACTAATATGAAAGGTTCTCTCCCTTGGAGATCGACCAATACTTCTAAATCGTCATCTGAAGCTACAGACACCTGCCATGATACAGCTGTAGAGTCTACCGCGATATTACCAGAGAAGAATAATTCAGAGTCAGAGAAAACAGTGCAGGAAAGCCCACTGGAAGCGTCTTCAGAAGGTCTGGGTACTTCCCTAGACAATAATGACCTCGCAGGTAGTGAATCTGTAAGTCCCATGATATCTCTTGATCAAAGTGACAGAGACACAGAAAGAAAATCTCCTTGTGAGAGCATTCCTGATGAAAATGGCATAGACTCTTTGCCAGCGAATAATCTGAACCTTTTAGAGAGTTTGACTACCGAGCCGTCGATTAAAGTGAAAACGCCTTGTGTAAGCCATGCATTAGAAGATGAGGAGTTGAAGCAGTCAAGTGTTTCCAGGGGCTTAGAGTTTGTACCACAATCAGCAGGCATGGAATGGAACAATCATAAGCAAGANATGAAAATGGCATAGACTCTTTGCCAGCGAATAATCTGAACCTTTTAGAGAGTTTGACTACCGAGCCGTCGATTAAAGTGAAAACGCCTTGTGTAAGCCATGCATTAGAAGATGAGGAGTTGAAGCAGTCAAGTGTTTCCAGGGGCTTAGAGTTTGTACCACAATCAGCAGGCATGGAATGGAACAATCATAAGCAAGAATTGAATCTGGATCCTATTTTCCCTAGCTTTGGTCTGATCCCTGAGACCGCTACACCTAATCAGGAGGACATGCCACCGCTCCCGCCCCTTCCTCCTATGCAATGGCGTATTGGAAAGGCTCCACAATCTTTTCTTCCTAACTTCATGGGAGAAATAGGCGAAACCAGTAGTTCTGCTCCGTCAGCCGCACCACCCTTGGGATCTAGCTTGAATGTTCAAATGGGGTCAACACCAGAGCTGTCTGAATCTCTAGTAAGGGAGAAATCAGAACAACTTCCTGGAGAGTCTATGACCAGTGAATCAGAAAATCCATTGCATTCATCCATTCAGTTCTCATCCGTTGCCACTGATTTGAATAGTCATTACGACAGTTTTGGCCCTCAGGGAACTCAGCCAGCGGATCTTTCCACTGAGCTCCTTGCCATTCCTAACCACGGGAGTATAGTGGATGTTGGTTCTGAAGAGAACAATCTTTTGGCTGACCATACTTCTCAGAACCAAGAGCTCATTTCTTTACAAGAGTCGTCATCGCAGATGCCTCAGGATCCTTCAGCTAAAGAAGAAGATTTGGAAGACGACACAGATGTGCAGGTTTCAGAAACCTCAAGAGGTCAGAAAGATTGTCCTGAAACCGAAGCGTTGACACCACCTCAGTCAGCAAAGGTAGAAGATAATGGCCATTCTGATCTTGATGCTTCAAATGCAGAAACAGCAGAACCATCAAACTCTTCGGTTCAGAAGATGACTCCTGCTTCAGTCGGAGATGCTATGTGGCCCGTCAACGCTTTCACTGTTGCACCTACATTGGACACAGATAAACTAGAAGAGGTCCCTATGGTTAAACTTCCCCGTCCAAGAAGTCCGCTTGTCGATGCCGTCGCAGCTCATGACAGACGCACGGTAACAATTACATCTTGTCTGCACTACCATGCTTTTACTAAAAAAATGTGTCTCTAAACCCTTGCTCTAATGATTTTCCAGCTGAAGAAAGTCTCTGAGAGGGTCCAACCACCTATCAAATCAAAGCAAGATGACAAAGATTCATTGCTTGCACAAATACGAAACAAGGTAACACACATTCTTCTTACCTTACACACAAAAATTAGATCAGGAGTTGTATGACCTTGCTTTGTTTATGCAGTCCGTTAGTCTGAAACCTGCTGTAGCGACGCGTCCAAGCATTCAAACTGGTCCTAAAACGAACTTCAGAGTAGCTGCAATCTTAGAAAAAGCAAACACAATACGCCAGGTCCGTCGTCATCTCCTTATTTTTACTCTTTGTGGTCCTTCATAATTTTAAAGGCCTCATGACCAAATACAATATCAACTTGTTTTCTCTATGGCTCACATATCTCAAAACGACACACTGGTGCAGGCAATGGCTGGAAGCGATGAGGATGACGATTCAGATAGTTGGAGTGATTCTTGAGTCATGATCGCTTGGTACATAGTTAACTTTTTCTGTCGTGTTGGTTCTTGTTTGATGATGAGTGCACCAAAAAGCGCTCGAGTCAGGTAGGTTATACAATTTATATTTCAGCCAGAACATCAAATATGTACTGTCATTGCTTAAATATATGTTATCATAATATACTGTCTACAATTTGATCTATAGGTGTGTGTGCATGTTGTAAGTAAACTCCGGAATTTGTATTAGTGTAACGGATGTTTGTGGTTTCTCCTATCTTTTTTTTTCATGAGATTATTTTAGTTGGCTATGTAATGTGAAATCATTTGTGTGCTTTGGTATATGGTTCTCCAACCGATCATACCAGCACAAAGAACACTTCCAAACAAAATCTACTCTTCTTTTAAAGACCAAAAAAAAAGAGTTATTGGAACAAAAGAGAATCTTTTTTTTTCTACGCTCTTTTTACTTTGGCAACCACTCCTTGCTAGTGCTACTGCTACTACTCGTTTCAACACAAGTGGTGGGATATTTGTTATTCATTCACCAAAATTGATATCACCTTTAAAAACAATTTCTCATTACTTTTTGAATCACTCCCTTGCTAGTGCTACTACTCTTTTTAACATAAGTGGGGATATTTGTTATTATTCATGACAACAATTGTCATCGTTGATATCACCAATGATTGTACAGATACACAAATCTAAGCTCTAATTATAGGCTTCGTTCCTTATGTAAGTAAAATATATAGAAAGAATGTCCATCACATGACTAAAGATTGATTTTTTTCATCAAAACAGTTCTATTAAAGAACATGTACGAAACAGATTTATTAAAGAAAGATCATAATCTGATTCAAGCAAAAATAAACAACATATATTAAAGAAAATTTCAAATCTGTTCGAAGCATAAACAATGCAGCTAAAAAAAAGCATAATATATGTTTTTTTTTAAATAGCACATAAAGATGATATAAAAAAGCGTTTGAAGGAGCTGGTCGCGAGAAACATGTAAAAAATATTAGCCTTCTTTGGTTTTAGACTTGGCCATCTTGCGAATCTTGCGAATCTTGGGAATCTTGCGAATCTGACGCAACCATTTTTCAGTTTCTGGAGATCTGCAATAAACACCATTAAGACCACAAATTTAATAACAAGAGAAATACGTTTAACAAGAATTAAATAGTCACAATAAGAGGTTTGACGTACAAGATCGCGACTCTGCCATTTCTAGGTTGAGCTTTCCATCTGTACCGTTCCCGACGTTTGGCAGCAAACATAGCATGGCAAATTTCACAGCCTTTAAAGTTAATGTGGATATAGTATTCCTCTCTATTTGTAGCCATTGTTACGAGAAGCTTGCGACCTCCCAAGTCACTTTCATTGAGAGATAACGCCGCCTCAATGTCACCAACACGTCTTTTCAGATTAATAAAAGCATATCCTATGGAAACACCGGTTTCACACTCGATGGGAACAAAAACCCTTGTCAACTCTCCACATGAACTGAAATGTTTAGCCAATGCGCTCCTGATCTCATCCCTTGAACCGCTTGTATCAAACCCCGTCACGAATATGGTACGCTCATTGTTTCCCTCTGCATCTTTAGTGTCAAAACAACACTCTTTCTTCTTCTCTGTGGTTTCTTCCTCCTGTAAAACAAACAAGGTTTTCTATAATTATTTGCATTTAACAAGATGTAGATCAACTAAGCACTTTACAATATTATTAAAACAAAACATAACCTGCTTCTGCTTCTTCCGACTATTAACTTCTGTCTCCAAATCATTCAACTCTCTTTCATCTGCTAAAAGAAAAATAATAGTTCAAAATAATTAACGGAATACAGTTCAGGATAACCTAATGTTCTTCTATAACCACGTAAAAATAAACATGAGCAGAGATAATTATTTATGCGTTTAAAAATATAAGATTATTACACACAACAAGAACTACAGCATAGCAAATAAAGCGAAACTCTCAATTATTTTCTTACCCTTTTGCATAGGATCATCAGCTGCTTCAGCCTAAAAAAAAAACCCAAAAAATAATATAATAGAGTGAAAAAAGTGGCTAAAGAGGTGACTAAAGAAGACAAAATTACGTGGGTGGATGATGTGGAGCATCTCTTGAGCTTGCTCTCGTCCATGGATTAGTTTAAAAGAGACGGCGAGTTTGGTTGGTTTCGATAGGGTGGTGAACCGCGAAGAATAAAAACGACCCTTATATTGTGCGGTGTGAGCTGGGCTTTGGTGGGCTTTGCTTGTGATTTTCTAGTTGGAGCTGCACGTTTTTAATATTCAGTTTAACACTGATTTTTGGGTGATAAATATTTATAAAATACATTGATTGTTTTTGCCCAAAAAAAAAATACATTGATTGTTTTAAATCATTAATGTCTTGTTTTATAATTTAGTAAGTTTTAAGTCATTTATAATTTTGTATAATATCTTGGCACTTTCTGTTTTGATTTCGCCACCAAATTCAACTACATACCACAACATGCTTATTTTGGTCTTTTTTTTTATTTTGGAATTTCATATATTTTGATCTTTCCAAGCAATTTTTTTTGTTTTTATTATTTTCTCGATTACTTTTATCAAACCAAAAGGTCAAACCGTGATCTAACACTACTTGTCATTTATATGAAAACGAAACAAAAACTATTAGTAGAGAAAAACAAAGTGATCAAAGAAGAAGAAGAAGAAAGTTACATGGGTGGATGAAGTGGAGCATCTCTTGAGCTTTCTATCGTACATGATTAGTTTAAATGAGAAGAGAAAGACTGAGCGCGGTTGTGGTTGTTTCAATTGGGCGGTGTGAACTGTAGGCTTTGGTTTGTGATGTCAAGTTGGACATGCAAGTTCTAATGTTCAAGTTCATGGCGATAAACATTTATAAAATACGTAAATTATCTTAAAATTAAATGATTAGTATTTTATGTTTTAATTGAATAATTTTTAAATGGTTTTATAATTTGTATGTATATATTAAATAAAATATTCTTCTACATATATATATGAGTTTGCTCATAAACAGTTTTATTGATTTCGTTATTTTTTTGGAAATTGCATTGATTACTTTTAATTAGACCTTACTTTGATTAATGATTATGAAATAGACTAAAATCAGAACTTTTTTAGTCCCTGCATTTATTTGGGTTTTGTGTGTTTGGATTTATAATATATTTTCGCTTATTAATATATAATTAGGGGCAAACCCCAGCATAAATGTGTTGTTGTATACATTGTTACTGCATTGTCTTTATTTGAGTCAGGAGAGGGTTGTGTAAATTGTCGTTTGGTTGTCTATATCTGAGTAGGAGAAATCAGTGTTTGTGTAGTTCTTATTCAAATTTTTAAGTTGCTATGGTGATATTTATGTATTAAGAGTTATGTGGCTACATAATAAGAGAATAATTGTTTACTTAACAGTCAATTAAAAATTAACTAATGTGACAGATACGTTAAGAAAGTCAACATCCGGAAGTGACAGATATATTAAGAAATTCAACATATAGAAACAATAGATAACAAAATCATGGATAGCTAATAAGAGAATGATACATTGATTAAATCTTCTTGATCATACCTAAAACACAAAATATACATTAATTAATTACTAAAATGCCAATATTATTATTTAAATGGAAACAAACAGTAAAAAGTTTTTACCTTCAACTCCACAACTTTTATGATTATACATTTGTGCTAAGCCAATCGAACAAAACCCTAGTCTCCAAAATCTTCCCCCAGCATTCATGTGCCTCCCAAAATTATTGGATTACTGAGACATGAACATGTACAACTTTTCCATCAAAACCACGCAATGCCTCGGAAATCTCTGATAGGCACGCATATGACACTCGGTCTTTGTTGGACTGAATATTATCTGAAATTCATATGTACTGTTTTTACACAAGATATTAAGATAAATTATAAAATATTAATCAGCTACGTATAAGAGAATAATATCACTTTGTATATTTATTTGTCGCGAGAATTCTTCATTGTATCTTGGAAAAACATTAAACCCTACTACCATAGATCCTTTGGCTATTGGTATTTCAATTAACATCTCAAACTCTTCCTGATCAAATTCTTGTGGCATGTGCTGAACGATCATTTGCTTCACATATTTTCCAACCATGAAATGACTTAAATATTCTAGACGATCTACAACATGAGTTTCTACATAAAAAATCGTCACAAAGTATTATACATTATCTAACTATACAACATAGGTTTATTAAATAAAGTTCATAATCTGACTAAAGCATAAACAATGAAGCAAAGATAGCATCAAATCAGTGTTATTTACTATATATGATTCCAAATCGGTGTTATTTACTATATATGATTCGTGTTTCCTTTTAAAACTATATTCTTTTATCCTAATTATCTGTTTATATATTTTAAAATAAGAACCAACAGTAAATTTATAAATCTTAAAGGCTAGGAAATTTATTGTTATGTTAATCAGCTAATTGGATACGAGTTATAAAACAAATGGGTGTAGTCTGAACCAGTGATATTTTCTAGGTTTTAATAGATCAATTTATGAATATAATAGATAAATATGTATGCTTTGACAAAAACTAATCAAAACTCTAGAGTCATGTTAAAAGCTCTACACACTCATGTTAAGATCTAATAGCTTTGAAGAAACTTAGGTTGAAAATAAATAAAAACACCAAAATCCACTAAAATGTAATCTAAAAGTTCAAAACAACGTTACAACTTATGAGGTCTAAATAGCAAGAACACCAACTGAAATTATCAAATCAAAACACCAATTCCTGAAACTCGCAACCAATTCCTGAAACTCTAATACTCAGATTCTAAATCATTCTCTAACTCTTTAGTAGAATAAGAGAATCAGGGTTTGCAGATAAAAACTACTGTTTAACGACAAACTCTACTCCAAGACAAATATTCTTACTATTAAATCAATGAAATGTATCTCTTGATTTGTTATGAAAAATTAATAAACACCAAAGTGAGCGCCTTCGCTTTAGGAATAGCATAAAACCTAGGCAAAAGCGCCTAGCCAAGTGGTGTTGTTTAAACCAAGATCATTATACAATCCAAATTCTAAACTGTAAACTCACCTTAGACATTGACCAGTAAGCTTGTTTTTAGGAATAAAAATCTTCTTGATGACTCCACAGGATGCGAAGAAGGTTCTGAGCTGTTGCTTGATATCCTCCTCTGCTAAACCGGGTTGAAAGCCGCTCACAGAAAGCACAACCAACCTGCAAACAAAAAGTTAAAAAGGTAAAAAACTTTGATACGGATTAAAAATCTTCCTAAAACAAAATTGGAAAAAACTATTACTGGTTAGGAACCCGCTTCATATGAGCAGGAACGCCGAGCAATGATTGTCCCTGTTTCTTAAACCCCTAAGTACCAAAAACAAATGCCAATGTATTAGAGAAAAAAAAACAGAATTGAAATTGCTGAGCAAAATTAAGTAAATCACCTCTTTTGCATCGGCATCACACTTAAACGTAATGTATGTCATCCTTATCGGTTCGTTTTGAGAGTTGAAATCATAAAGTATGACAGTAGCAACCTTGCCTTCAAAGAAACCTTCACTGCAAATAATGTTGGAAGTTGTTCATGAAAACATGATAAGTGATGAAATCTATCAAAATTAGTAAAAACGAGACTGAACAGAAACATGTACTTACATATCTTCTTCAGCTCACTCTCCGGTTCGCTGGGCTCCCATCCATCATCAACGGTAAGCTTGTCTGACTTTTGTCTCTTTCTAGGTGATATTCCCGATTTAAGTTCATGTTCTAGTAACTTGTTAAATGAAAAAAAATGTTTTAGAATAACAATTTTATGAATATAATAGATCAATTTATTAGGTATTTTAGTGAAATTTCAGCATCATGATATTATTAGGAGGTATCATTTTTCTAGTGAGGTTTATGCCTCCTAGAACTCTCGACCAACACATCAACTACATAATTTGTGCATAAAAAATACTGAAATTGATGTTGATTTCGCAAATAATATTAGTCCAAATTGAGGTTCAACACCATCCAAGAGCATAGCAGCATAGCGACAGTTAAAGGTTCTCTGCTAGATCCCTTTAAATTTACCAATGCAGATTGGCCTCTCGAAAGAGCTATAGCCCAACTACTATCTATAACAAACAGTAAATATTATCATCATAATCATCATCATATTAAAACATAAACAATGTCTTCCCTCTTTGCTCTCCAAGTCGAAAGAAACTCTGTAAAGTTGGCGTTATGGATTTGATAACATAAAAACGATTTAAAACAATTAAGCATTTAACCCAAACCAAAACAAGTAAAACACCATTTAACCAATCAATACTATTAAAAGAGAATGAGTTTTGAAAAACTACTTATACAAGTTGTTTAGACCCTTTCATTTTAGTCTTACCTAGAAAATTTAATCAAATATTATAATAGCCTTAATTATAACAACCAAATCAGATCTTACGAATATTAGTATTATCTGAATCTTATCAAGATCTTTCACTAATATTTTAGGTAATATATTAATTTTTTATTGTTAAATATTTGTTTATCTGTTAGAAAATATGTGTTACATATCTGCTCTACTAAACATATGTCTATCTAAATATTACAGTTACCAAAAGAGATTTTGTATACATGGCGATATGTAACATTGCATTCAAATATATAGGTTACTTTTAGTGGTTTCAAATGAATCACTTCAAATCGTATAGTTTTCTAAACTCCCTAATAATATAATTGTACAGTATTATACTATATTTTCTTATATCACACATTAGTATATTAGATATATATATTTACTTATCCCATGCGGTAATATAGTACTCATTTTCAAACTATTCTGTCAATAAATTTTCATTGTTTGGCTTCTTTAAAATGCTGGTTAGGTAATTTCAAATATATGAACAATATCCAACCAAAAAACTTTAAGTTTTAAACTAATATTTGATTGTTTAGATTTTTATTAGACTATCCTAGATTTTATTAAAATATTTTAAAATAAAAGTATTTATATATTAAAATAAACAGTTGTTAAAATTATACATTTAAAGTTTGACTATCAAATTATATAAATATATTATATAATTACTGATTTTTACTAAATGTAATGATATATATATTTAAATAGTCTTAGTTTCTCAATTTTTACAAAACCATAATATTTCATACCAAAAATTAGATTTAGAAATATGTATTTAATTCAAGTATGTACTTATTTAAATTATTATAAAAATATTTATACTAAAATTGTTATTTAATAATATTTAAAACTATTAAAAATCTTATAATTTTATATTATTAAATTAGCCAAACAGTCAAGGAATCTTAAATATAATCAAACACAATAAATATAACTTTTATAAAATGTACACAAAATATAAGAAGAGAGAGAGAGAGTAGACTTAGACATTCGGGTCTTTGGATTAGGTACTGTTTGTTTTTTTTCGGGCATCAATTTTATGGATCCTAAACATTTAGACCTAAATAGGTATTTGAATTTTTTTGTTTAGATTTGTGTCGGTTCCTTTCAAGTTTAGATTAATTACCTATAAATTACATGTAATTTTTAGATACGTAATAGGTCCAGATTGGTTTAGATATTTAAGATTCGAGAAAATCAGAAGTATCCCAAACTTTAAAAATACATCAATGCATCATCAATCTATTTATATTTTTAGCTATATTTAAATATAAAAAATAAATCCGCGCTTTGAAGCGGGGTCAAAATCTAGTTCCATATGAAAATAATACACATACCTTCCATTTGTTACAATCATTTGGACTCAGACTTTGAAAGTAACTCCCAAGCTCGTCTGCTGTCATTGAATTATTGTGAAATTGTTTAACAACAAAGGATATCTCTTTAAAAGAAGTCATGATTTTATGCCACAATCGAGAAAGTTGTTAAAGAATCAAACATCTAATAAGTTAAAAATAAATAGAGAAATGATGAATAATAACTTAGACAGTGAACAGAGTTTCAAATAGCAGTGGAGGTAGAGTAGAAAGCAACACTGGAAGACACATTCGCTATAATATTGTCTTGTGTGAGGTGGGCTTTCGTTTCTGATGCCTAGTTGGACCTGCACTTTTTAGTTTTATTTAAACTCAGAACCGAATTTAATTTGATCATTTTACAAAGAAATCAACCATATGTAGAAGGATTAACTAGATTTATTGTAGCCTCTAAAACTAAATAAAGAGAGAAGAAGATTAAGAGATTAGGTCTAATGTTTGATTGATTTACTCTCGTAGCCTTGTTGGAACCATCGTCAATGCCTATTAGCCTCTTATCTTCTGATTTGGCGATGTTTACCGTAACAAACTATCTCATCCAATAAACCTCTACTTAACACCACCAACTTTCTTTTGTTCTTGCTCAGCTTTCAGCAAAACTTTCATGAACAAGTGTTGTTTGTATTTGAATTTCCAGGTCTTGTGGCACTTCCTCAGAATCTGAAACTAGAGAAGAACCAGCTTTACATGAGAAACCATAAACTCATCATCACCTTTTGTCTCATTTATACTCTCATCTACCATTTGATCGTCAAGCTTATTCTTAAAAATAGTCACCATGAACCGTTTACCTTCTGATCCAACATCAGAGGTTATAACCTCCTCTTGTCTTCTTTGCTTGGCATCATTTTTGCCTTGGATATACCCTCTCGATTTTGGTAAAAACAAGTTGTTGGTACAAGAGGAGAGGTGGGACTGAAAAGAGTTTGAGGCTATCGAATAGATGGATATTGTAAGTCGATATGAATGATGATGATATGATGATAGAGAAGAAGAGTAAGAGATTAGATTAGGGTTAATGTTTGACTGATCACTCTCAATGGCTAAAACACCTAACATATACTATTGCTCTTGGTCTAACAAATGACCATACCCTACTTAATAACAAAACCAACAGTTTTAAACCAAAATGGGTGATAGAGCTCATGTAGAACAACTCAGACTCAGACATAGTCGTCCTCCCCATCATCAGAATCAGAATCATCCTCAGACTTCTCAGTCTCCTCATACCCCTCCGCCTTCATGGCCGCCTTGATTACCCTGTATCTCACATGGTTTGTGCAATCTGAAACCCTGATTGTACGACCTTCCATCTCATTGTTATCCTTCTTCTCAGCTTTACCACCTCTCTGATTCATGAAAACGTATCCGAAACTGTGAAACAAAAATATATATATTTAAAGTTAGTAGCATTTAACATGATTAGAAATTGAAAACTAGAAGACTCTAACCTTAAACAGCCACCAGTGTTCTTGTCTTTAGGGATAAAGATCTTCCTGATAACTCCACATGATTTGAAAAAAGTCTTGAGCTGTTCCTTGATAAGCTCCTCTGGTAAACCAGGTTCAAAACCACTCACTGAAAACACTCTCCGGCGGCTGCAAACAAAACACACACACACAAATAGGAAAGTTAAAATCTCTCTAAAACAAACAAAGTTGGTAAAAGATAAAAAAAACATTCTTACGTGGTAGGGACACGCTTAATACGAACAGGAAGGCTGCCTAGTAACTCCCCATGTTTCTTAAGCCCCTAAGTAACAAAACAACTCAAATGGTGTTAGAGAAAAAAAAAATGGTAGCAATAAAGAATAAAATCCACCTCTTTTGTATCTTGAAGAGAGTTAAACCAAATTTCAGCCGTCCTGATCGGTTCATCAGCAATGATGACATTGGCAGTCTTGTTGTTAAAGAAGACCTCACTGCAAAATATGGTTAGTAAATGTCAAGCAAAAGAAAACAGTAATTAGCAATATACTCTTCTTACATATCAAGTTTAACAGTGGCATGGTCCAAATTCCACATGACAAGTCGGTCTGGAAGGTAATAGTCTTCTAATTCACTCTCTGAAGAGCTTGAAACCCACTCAGCAAATGATAATGATGGTTCTGCAAGAGGAGATTCATCAACCGGATCAAGCTTTGAGTCAGTGCTGTTGATTAAAGGAAGCTTTGAGCTCTCTCTCTCTTTGTCTGCTCCAATGTTGCTTAATGGATCCATCAAGAAGCATGAGAAAGCTACAAAAGTAGATAGCATGTATTAATTTATCACCATTAATCTAGTTTACAGAGCAAATACAGAACAATGAGAACAACGAATGGTGTTTTGTTCTCTGCAATGATACTCAGCAGTCTCCTCCCTAATGAATGTTTCGTGTTAAACATAAAGAACGATGTTTTGTACAAGCAGTAAAGTCTAGCTTCATTATAAACCCTAAACTCTACATCTAAGTTTAGAAACCCACAAGTGTGAGTGAGAGTGTAATAGAGTAACATACCTTGAAGAACCAGAAGCCTTCGATTTCGTCTTTTCTTCGAACCCTTCGATTTCGTCTTGTCTTAAGAAGAAGAAGAAGAAAACGATGTCGTCTCTGTTTGTTGCCAAAAAGAAAAAAATTAACCGTAATAAAACCCAAGTACCAAAGATAAGCGGCCCTATTTTGGCCCGGATAAAATATTTAATAAGGCCTGTTCTAATCCTTTTGCTAAGACTGAAAAGAAAGAGTTTGGCTAAGACAACAATGTTATCAACAATGCTATGTTTGCTAAGATTCGAACCTGCTAGATAAAACAAACTACTTTTTATTGTTGATTTAATACAATTAGAAAATTAATAGAGAGAATTTTTTTTTCTACACTACTCTTATTACTTCTACAACCACTCCTAGTCTCCTTGTTAGTTCTACTACTCGTTTCAACACAAGTGGTGGAATATCTGTTATTGATTAACCAAAATTGATCTCACCAATTAAAACAAAACTCTCTTGAATCACTCCCTTGCTCTAGCTCAAATTAATTTTGGACCTTGTGCAAAGTTTAACCTTTTCTCAAACTAGCTACTATTTTATATAGTTTGCAAACTAAAGTCTTAAACTAGGAGTATGTCTTTTAATAAAACAGGACCTTAATTACAAATTGCAAAATAAAAAAAATGGACCCTGTGCATAAGCACTGTGAGTGAGCACACATGCTCAAAGCCGGTCCTGAGTGCTACTACTCTTTTTTAACTCAAGTGAGAGTATTTGTTATTACTCCATCACAACAATTGTCATCGTTGATAATTATCACCAATGATAACAAAACTATCATCGAAAAAGTAATCTGATACTGTACGATTCTGTTTCCATCATTCCTTTCTTTCCAAAAGCTCGTGAGCGGTGCAGAAGTAAGGTTCTTGTCTCTTACTTTCTAGTGTCATTCGTTCTCATTTGAGAATTTTTAGACTGATTTATTGCTAGAATTATCGCTTTCTTTTGTTTTTGGATTTGATCTGTCCCTATAAATTATCGAGATGGATCTTCTTCGATGAAGGATTTTGTTACATATTCCCACACATGCAAATGTTGTAAGGTAACAACATAATGCACTTGGGGTTTGGAAAAGTGAAAGACATGCATGATCCATGTTTTTTAGATAGCAGAAATGGAGAATGCGACAGAAGCGGTGACAGAAGCGGTGACGGTTGTTCAACAACGTCAAGTAGAGGGACAAGGGCAGCCACAAAACCCACCACCACTCTTACGGCGTCGTTTTGTATTATCTCTTTACATTGGATATTTTCTTGCAAGATGGAGTACCAGGTTTTATATAAATAAATAAATATCTTCATTTCTAACATTTTTTTTGGGTTGATTATTAGCTTAAAAGTAAAATACAGCCTTTTTTAATGTATCCTTGGTTTGCTCTAGGAAATCTTGAATGAGTTCAAAGGTAGTTTATAGCAAAAAAAATAAAAAATAAATAAAAAACACTATAATGTTAATTAGATAATTTGAACATGGTGGATACATTTTATGTTTTGTCACCGAGTCTTTCATATGAGTTTTTTCTAATGCAGAACTTGGGAGTTCTCAGTTGCTTTGTATATGATCCACTTGTGGCCAAACTCTCTGCTTCTTGCAGCCATATATGGTGCGATAGAGTCTGGTTCTACTGCTATTTTTGGCCCCACTGTGGGGCAATGGATAGATGGAATGGACTACGTTAAAGTCCTAAGACGCTGGCTCTTTTGTCAGAACCTCTCCTACACCGTTGCTGGTGGTGCAGTCATCAAGTTGCTGCTACTTTCTGATCTCAAGTCCCGGAACATCCCGGTCTTTGCAACCTTGGTTGTGTTGACAAATGTTGCTGGCGCCATTGGTGTGCTTTCCACTCTTGGTGGCACCATTCTGATCGAACGAGACTGGTAATGTTTTTTTTTTTTTCACGTGATTTATGCATACTGCATGCAATTTTATATTGCTCTTTTGACTACCAAACAGGGCTGTGGTTATGTCGGAAGGTTATCCACCAGCGGTACTGACAAGAATAAACTCTGTCATTAGAGGCATTGATTTAAGCTCAAAGCTACTCTCTCCAGTCATCACCGGTCTCATCATTAGCTTTGTCTCCCTGAAGGCGTCAGCCATCACTTTTGCATTTTGGGCCACTATAACCGCTTGGGTTGAATATTGGCTCTTCATATCCGTATATAATGGTGTTCCAGCGATAGCTCAAAGCAATGAAAGACGGATCTTGCGTTCCATGACAACGCCAGTAGAAGGATTAGATGCACATGTTTCTGTTTCTATTGTTCCGGAGGGTTCTCAAGGAAACCCACCGCGTAAAACCGGAATGCTGAAGCTTCTTGATAGAGTATCCAAGTCATCTTTGGTTTGCGCGTGGAGAGTTTATATCAATCAAGAAGTTGTACTCCCAGGGGTTTCACTAGCTCTCTTGTTCTTCACCGTCCTCACGTATGTTTTGGATTTGTTCACATGAATGGTTCTTACGTGAATGTCAAGTAAAATGGTGTTTATTGGATCTCTTTAATGCCTTGACACAGCTTTGGAACGTTGATGACGGCTACATTGCAATGNGCGTGGAGAGTTTATATCAATCAAGAAGTTGTACTCCCAGGGGTTTCACTAGCTCTCTTGTTCTTCACCGTCCTCACGTATGTTTTGGATTTGTTCACATGAATGGTTCTTACGTGAATGTCAAGTAAAATGGTGTTTATTGGATCTCTTTAATGCCTTGACACAGCTTTGGAACGTTGATGACGGCTACATTGCAATGGCAAGGGATACCTACATATATCATCGGTATAGGCAGAGGAATAAGTGCCACGGTTGGACTAGCGGCTACATTCGTCTATCCTCTAATGCAAAGCCGTATCTCAACGCTGAGAACCGGCCTCTGGTCATTCTGGTCTCAGGTATGTTATTAACTTGAAACTTCTAATGCGTTTGAAAGAGTAATGTTTAGATTGTCAATCACTATAATTAAGATATTCATAATAATCATGAATTATATTTGCATTTAGATTTTAGATTCTCATGGGTTACTACTATAAATGTATGTGCTCTTTTTAATAGTATTAACAAGAAATATATATATGTACCACATTTTGGTTCATCTGATTTGTTATAACAAGCAAACATATTATAAAGGAAACTAATAGAACTTGAGCAATCCTATAGAAGAATGATATGAGAAAAACAAAAGTCACATAAGTAGGGTTCTTGTTCTCGCAGTGGAGCTGCCTTTTGGTATGTGTTGGATCGATTTGGGTTAAAAAAGATAACATAGCATCGTACATGCTAATGAGTGGAGTTGCTGCTTCAAGGCTTGGCTTGTGGATGTTTGATCTTGCCATTATCCAGCAAATGCAGGTACTTCAAAACATAATTTATGATTATAGTCCGTTTGTTTTAACATAGTTATAGTAACCTTTTGGTGTAATGTTTGGTCTTAAAAAACTAGGAACAAGTTTCAGAATCCGACCGTTGCGTGGTTGGAGGAGTTCAAAACTCGTTGCAGTCGGCTCTTGACTTGATGGCATATCTATTGGGTATCGTTGTATCCAATCCAAAGGTAACATAGTCCACTTACATTCTAAGAATCAATATAGTTGATTTCAAACACAACTTATTATGCTTTAAGTGTTTGCGCCGTATACAAACACATAATTTGCGTTTGCGATCAATAATTTGACTGTACTGTGATTTTCAGGATTTCTGGATATTGACCATCATCTCATTTTCTTCGGTTACGTTAGCAGGATTACTCTATACAGTTCATCTCTACCGAATCCGAAACCATATATTTCATTTTGAGAAGATTCATTCGTTGAGCAAATGGTTATTCAAGTTTATAGTCCCTTCTCGTGGAAAAACATGAACATATAATATCGTGGAATGCGTCATACCATTTCTAAAGACAATGGTAATCAATATCCTATATAAGATTTAATTCTTTTTCGTTTCTTATAGTTAAGATGACACATTTAATTATCAAAAAATTTAAGAAAATTGATGAAGCCTCTTCTTGGCGTTCTCTGCTTCATGGTTGTTCTCCGTCGGCTTCTTTCTCGTACGCAGTTTAGTTCGTAGTATTAAAAAAACATATACAACACAAAGAAAAGTTCACATGCTGACTGAAGCATAAACACTGCAGCCAAAATAGCATAATATATGTTTTTTTTTTGTTTAAATAGCACATAAAGATAGTAATAATTAAAAAAAAGCGGTTGATGGAGAGAGCTAGTCGAGAAAAAATATTAGCCTTGTTTGGTTTTAGACTTGGCCATCTTGCGAGAAGCCAAAAAAAATTTCATGATGGAGATTACTCTGTTTTTCAAATTCCGGAGACCTGCAATACCAATAAAATAAAACACACAAAATTAATAACAAGACTAATCCGTTGACAAGAATAACAAAAAGAATCACTATTAATTAAGATGTTTGACGTACATACGAATGAATTTGCCACCACCAGTTCGCAAAATCCATTGGTCGCGTCTCCGTCGGCGGGAAGCAAGAATAGCATGACAAGTTTCACAGCTTTAAAGTTTCCGGAGTAATGGTATTCACCCCTAGTTCTAGCCATTGTTACCAGAAGCTTACGACCTCCCAAGTCGCTTCCATTGAGAGATAACGCCTTCTCAATGTCAGCAAAACGTGGTATCAGAAGATCAATAAAAGCATGTCCTCTGGAAACGCCGGTTTCACACTCGATGGGAACAAAAACCCTCGCCAACTCTCCACATGAACTGAAATGTTTAGCCAATGCGCTCCTGATCTCAGCCCTTGAGCCGCTTGTATCAAACCCCGTGACGAATATGGTACGCTCATTGTTTCCAAATGCATCTTTAGTGTCATAACAACACTCTTTCTTCTTCTCTGTGGTTTCTTCCTCCTGTAAAACAAACCAGGATTTCTATAATTATTTGCATTTAACAAGATGTAGATCAATTCACTAAGCACGTGTATAAGACTATTAAGACAAAACATAACCTGCTTCTGCTTCTGCTTCTTCCGACTATTATCTTCTGTCTCCAAATCATCCAACTCTCTTTTATCTGCTAAAAGATAATTAAAAAAAAAAAGAATTAAGTTCGAAATTAGCAGAATATAGTTCAGGATAGCTTAACTTCTTCTATAACTCACTTAAAAATAAACATGAGAACAAGAGCTAATTATTTATGAGTTTAAAAAAAAAACAAAAATAAGACCATTATTAAACATTTGAATGTGATATTTTTAACAGTTTTAATAATTTTTAATCGTTTTTAAAAATTAAAAATAGAACATTTACGAAAAAGTCTAAAAAAATTTTTAGTATATGGTTAATGCGATAATTTAATTTATTTTAATATTTTAAATTAAACAAAAACGATAAGAGATATACTATTTTTTGTCAAATCTTTATATCCAAAATCATTAATTGTTATATATATTTTAGCCTTATTAGGCAATTCCAAAAAAAAATTAAGGAAAGAAGAAAAAATATTAATAACTAATTTATTGTTAGCTGAATAAAAAATTTATTATATATTTATATGGACCAACCTAATTCTCTTAGCATTCAAAAAATCATTGTGGTGATGACACATGGTTATCTCAAATGTTGTAATGTTTCACAAATAATATATAGGGGATATATTTACCGAACTTAATTTGACAAATTGGCCCTTTAACGTGTTTCTAATTATGAATTGAAACAATTATCTTATTTTATACTAAGTTTTAAATTCTTAGGTTATATGTAAAACATAAAATTAAAATTTGAAAACCATAAATTTAAATTTGAATTTCTAAGCAATATCTTCTAAAAAATGGATTATGGTAAAAATACTAGGAAATGGTGTATTTTCTAAAAATATTTGAATAATTAACCTATTAAAACGTTATCGATCATTTTTAAGACTCTTTTCTTATGAATCATCATAAATTGGTCTCCGCAAGTTGGTAAGAGAAAAACAAAAGATTCTGCAAAATGAGAATACTAAATTTTATTGTAATCAGTGAATTAGTAAACAAATGGTAACTGATGAATTGTAAATCTCCACAAAATTATTTAGTTCAAAACTCATTTCCACTGATATTTAGTAAGTGTTTCTGTTTAAATTTCCACTCATCTTATAAAACAAAGACTACATAACAAATCATAGTTTTCAGTTTATTTTACCACAAATAGTTTCAAAAATCTATTGAAAAAAGAGGCTAAGATTTAAACATTTCTTGTTCCAAATTTCACATATTTAAAATTAAAACGATAAAAAGAGAGTAAACCCACGAACTTCCAACTCATTTTCCTCACGACAGTATAAAGTAGTGTAATGTTTAGTAGTACATGACATCAGTTGTTTCGTAATAGATTTTCTATCAAGCATGTGTATAGTAAACGTTATTATCATTGTTTAAGTGTATTGGGATTTCGGTATAGTACGAAAACTGTACACTAATGCTTGTGTTAAATGGGATGGGTGTCAATCGATCTTGAGATGGATCACCAACGGCCTAAAACGATACTACACTTGTTTTCAATAAAAACTTACAAAACTTCGAATGGATCTATTCCAAAGACACCTATGTAGTTATCTTACCTTTTTAAAGCTTTGCTACAAGTCCCAAAACTCTTAACATTTTACTATTAACCGTAGTTAGCTTACGTGATCTATCTCTTCATCCTCATCCTCTTCATCTTCATCTTTCTTAAACACCTCAGCCATCGCTGCATTAGTCTCATCATCCATCTCCTCATCGTCATCCTCAAAATCCTCATTTACCCACCCATTTGCCTCCATCTCTGCTCTAATATTCTTAAATCTAACCTGGTAGGTGCAATCTGAAACCCTTATGACATGACCTTCCATCTCGTAACAGCCACAGGTGGAGTCATCTTTATCTTTAGGGATGAATATTTTTCTTATTGTTCCACACGAATCAAAATGTTTTGTCAGTTGGGTCTTGATGTCTGCTTCTGATTTTGTAGTGTCAAGTTCTCTCACCAACAAAACAATCCGCCTACAAGATAGAAATCTTAAATACGACACAGAATAAAAAGACTCCAATACCAATAAAATAAAACACACAAAATTAATAACAAGACTAATCCGTTGACAAGAATAACAAAAAGAATCACTATTAAGATGTTTGACGTACATACGAATGAATTTGCCACCACCAGTTCGCAAAATCCATTGGTCGCGTCTCCGTCGCAAAATCGATTCGATTCCGGTTCAATTCGATTATTTTAGATATATAAATATAAGAACCGTTCGGATATTTAAGGGTTTCGATTTGGTTCCGATTTCGAATATTTCGGTTCGGTTCCTCAGTTCCTGTTTTTTTTCCCAGGTCTATACTGAACTATTACACAAAAATTCTGGTATAAATAATTTTATATATTTATTACGAGAAGTCTATTTTTTATAGGGATTTAACGGTTAATCATGCACCCCACTAAATCACGTTATGAAAATCTACATTTGATAGTTTTACTTGCCTCGTATTATAGATTTTTTGTTAATTTTTCTCTAGCTGTACATGAGACAAATTCTAATTCTCTGAATTCTGTGGAAAGCTGCTGCAAAGGCTTTACCAATGGGACAAGCTGTTGGATAAGCTTCAAGATTTAGACAACAAGTTATTCATAAAAGGAACGTTTGAATAACAAATACGATTAGGTTTATGATTAGGTTAAGGTTCCTAGATCATTGTGTAATAGGTTAAGATAAAGATATCTATTGACTATATAAAGAGGTCAAGATGTAAGAAGATATCTACCAGAAAAGAAACAAAAATTTTGTGGTAAATGGGATGGGTGTCAATGGATCACTTAGGATCTACAACGGTACTATCAAATGTAGATCTACATGTTAGTTGATCTACATGTTTGTGATTTTCAGGATTTCTGGAGATTGACCATCATCTCATTTTCTTCGGTTACGCTAGCAGGATTACTCTATACAGTTCATCTCTATCGAATCCGAAACCACGTTTTTCACTTTGAGAAGATTCATTTCTTGAGCAAATGTTTATTCAAGTTTATACTCCCATCTCGTGGAAAGACATAAATCTATACTAATGTAGTGGAATGTGTCCAACCATTCCCATATAAGATTTTGCTTTTCTATTATGTGTTTAATAAAGAAAGAAGTCGAAGTTTTTGTATTATGTGTTTAATAAAGAAAGAAGTCGTATACAAATATAAAAGTCGAGTTTAGAGGAGTGTCTACAATGAAATCTCTCTTGAAAATTGGGAGTATATTCATAGAATTTAGTGGTTTCTTCAAACGAAATATTAAGAAGACATTCTCTTAAAATCAGTAAAAACACATTTAATTAATTATCAAAAACATTAATAAGATTGATGAAGCCTCTTCTTGGCGTTCTCTGCTTCATCGGTTGCATCAACTTGCATTTTGGTCTCTGTTAGATGAGCTTCCGTAGCTTCTTTCTCGTTCTTGGCCGTCAACCTCTTTGTCTTCCAAAAAAAAAAAATGCTTAATCATAATATTTTACTCAAAAACTTATAATAGAAAGTAATGAACAGGTTCCAGTATTTGACCATAACAAATATCAAAACAATCTGAAGCTTTTATGCACTACTTGTTGGATAGCAACGCGGATGCAAGTTAGAACATGACACATGAGTATTTGCTGGCTAATAAAAAGAGAAATAATAATAGGAAGTACTAGTTCATTAAGTAATACATGAGCCACCAAAAACGCGTCATGTGATCATGATTAACCATGAGTCTCTGAACCGTGTTAAACCGGAAATGATATTCCTAAGATCAATATCTTTTCGCAAACGTACCTGGCCAACAAAAAAGGCTTTGACGTAGCTAAGCCCTTCCTTAAAAGTGACTGCCATGGATAAACAGCTAGTCTTCACCCTATCCATCAGAGACTTCGATGGCCGTCGCGATGTGTCAGCCTCTTGCATATGGACGTTAAAACGCTGTGTTTAAAGAGAGAGACGTTGCAAGCTAGCTAGGCAACGAGATGTGTATGTCACTTGCTTTCACGTGGATGAGATACTTTTTAACTACAAGTGATTCTGGAAGCAACAAACAGTGCCACGTCTTTTGTACGTGTAGGCTGTAGATGTTACATGCGTGTACTAAAGTAAGAGGCACATTGAGTTAACAAATAGATTGAAACCAAGTAGCCGCACATGGATTTAATAAGGACTTATAATTAGGAGGTTTTGCTAATTAACCACTCTTTAATCTTTAATCATGTGCTTTTCAGAAAGAGAATCGTATTTTTATCCAAATGAATTGAACCGCAAGAAACTACACGTGGCAATCACAAATGCATCCAAAAGGATGACGTAAGCACGAAGCTGACGTAAGCCCGCCTCGTTCAAAGTCAAGGCCACATGGTCTGACCATATCTCCTCCTCTTCTTCTCCATCTTCTAATCTTTTCAACGGTCAAACTTTTTATCACCTTCTCAGAAACTACACTCTCTTTTTTTTCCCTTCATTTGTGCCATCAAAAAACCAAATTAATAACCAATCAGACCATGCAATATGTTTTATATATACAGACATAACTAGCAAAATACATAAACATTTCAAGAACCAACCCCATCACATCTCTTTTTCTTTTCTACTTTGCCCCCTTCTCCAAGCTCTGCCACTTTCTATAAATATCTCATGTAGGTCTTTCATTAGACAAATAATAAAAGTTTTTGTATGGCTGCTTCTTCTTTTCTTACTATGGAAAATAGCATAACCAGACAAAACATGAATGGTTCTGCTAATTGGTCCGGAAGATCATCCTCAGCATCTCTTGAAGATCTAGAGATTCCACCTAAATTCAGATCTTTTGCTCCTTCTTCAATCTCAGTCTCTCCTTCTCTTGTCTCTCCTTCCACTTGTTTCAGTCCCTCTGTTTTTCTTGATTCCCCTGCTTTTGTTGCCTCCTCTGCTAACGTAAGCCTCTCTTTTCTTTCTTTTAATTTGCATTTAAGACTATTGATACAACATAGGCTTGATTCAGGTTCTTGAAAACCATTCTTGATTCTGTTTTTTGTAGGTTCTTGCTTCTCCAACCACAGGAGCTCTTATCACATACGAAAGTAATCAGAAAACTATAACCAAGGAAGAGAAGACGAACAAGAACAACTTTAGCTTCTTTGATTTCTCATTCCAGACACAATCATCAGGAGTTTCTGCTCCGACAACAACAACAAACAGTTCTGTCTTTCAATCACAGGTACGTTACTCAAACAGCTCAATCTTCAAATCCTTTTTTTTCTTTCTTTTCCTCGAGTTTAAATGTTTTGTGTGTGTTCAGGAACAACAGAGGAAGAACCAGTCAGATCAATGGAACCAAACCGAGACTCGTTCAAACAGCAGCAGTCATCAAGAAGCTGTATCTTACAATGGACGAGAGCAAAGGAAAGGAGAAGATGGCTACAACTGGAGAAAGTACGGACAGAAACAAGTGAAAGGGAGCGAGAATCCTCGGAGTTACTATAAGTGTAGTTTCCCAAACTGTCCAACGAAGAAGAAAGTGGAGACATCTTTAGAAGGTCAGATCACTGAGATTGTGTATAAAGGAAGCCATAATCATCCTAAACCTCAGTCCACTAGAAGATCATCTTCTTCTTCTTCGTCGACGTTTCATTCATCTGTGTCAGATCATCATGATTCCTTTGTGATCCAACAAGATGATAATAATACTACTTCTGGTTCTCTTGGAGACGATGAGTTTGAGAGAGGCTCATCGGTTATCAGCAGAGGAGAAGAAGAAGTTTGTGGGAGTGAACCGGAAGCAAAGAGATGGTAAAAAAGATCATACATCACTCTCTGTTTAAAATTACTTAAATTAGAAAGTTTCTTAAAATGTTTTGCTTCTTGTGTGTTTTTTCAGGAAAGGAGAAAGCGAAACTAACGGTGGGAATAGTAACGGAAGCAAGACTACGAGAGAGCCGAGGATTGTTGTTCAGACAACTAGTGATATCGACATTCTTGACGATGGTTATAGATGGAGAAAGTACGGCCAAAAAGTCGTTAAAGGAAACCCTAATCCAAGGTAAAATAATTTCAACATTTTATAGTTTCTTGATATCATCACAACAAAGGGTCTTTAAAAACTGACAACTTTTTTTATGTTTTCTTGAATCTTAACAGGAGCTACTACAAGTGCACAACCAATGGTTGTCCAGTGAGAAAACATGTTGAGAGAGCATCACACGATATGAGAGCTGTAATCACAACCTACGAAGGGAAGCACAACCACGACGTACCTGCAGCTCGTGGTAGCGGTTATGCCACAAACAGACCGGCACAGGATCCTTCTTCAGCACCAATTAGACCAAATGCTATTGCTGCTCATTCTGGTTACACTACTTCTTCTCAAGCTCCGTATACACTTCAAATGTTGCACAACAACAACAACACTAGTGCCGGGTCTTTTGATTACCCTATGAACAACAATAATAGCAGCAACCTTCAAATGCAACAAAACAACTTTCTTGGTGGTGGGTTCTCTAGAGCAAAAGAAGAACCAAACGATGATGAGTCCTCTTCGTTCTTTGATTCGTTTTTGTCTTGAAGATATGAAAATTCGTTTTTCAGTTTGTACATTTCTGCTACAAAAAGGGTTTAACTACTTACTAGTGATCCATACTAAGACTATAGTCTATATAGTCCATAGAGAAAATTATTTCATTTGTTTTTTTTCCTGGCTCATGTGAGAGCTTTCACACGCCTGTAATGTAATAATATATTTAGTTCTTTTGTACCATACAAGTAGAAAAATGGAATAAAGCCAATCAATTTTTCAAATTTTCACTTTGTATAATGTATCATACAAGAACACTAACAGCTATATGCACATATAAAAGGACATTTACACGCAATGTGTTTGTTTTGTTAAAGTAGTTTACTATGCATGTTACCACTAATCTTGTGTTTCATATGACAATACTTTTGTAGTTTGTTAGATGGTTTAAGGTTGCAAAGAAACTTGCATTGCTTCAAAATAAAATACATATAACATACACAAATGCTTCTTCCCATTCCCAAAGATCATCAACAAATATTATTCAGTTCTTAAATATTACAAACAGTTGGCATGGTCATTAGCAAAAACAAAGGCACAAGTTTGCAAAACCCACATAAATCACACATACACGTAAAGTAAAGATCATAGTCTTATTCAAATTATCTCCAATGAACATAGCAAATAATTTTATATCATGTTAAAAATATATTTTGTAAAAAAAAATGGAATTCCGGTTAGTATTCTTCATTTTTTCTTCTTCTTGTTTTTTTTTTTAATATACAGAGAGGCCACTCTTCTCATTACTCTCTCTGCTCCACTGTAAACCGAACCGGTTAACTATAAATGCTTCTCGAATCCTCATTAAAACCGATTGTACTTGTTCATTTGAAAATTCCGAGTAAATTCGTTTTGGTTTAAATTTCACGGACCCCTATGAACCGGTTGGTTAATGATACGACGTAGCTTTCTTCTGAGCTCATCGGCCCAAGCCAAGCCCACATCTCTCTGCTTGTTCTTCATCTCCACTATCACCAACTCATCCGTCAACCTGCGAATCTTAACCACGATGTTAGCCACTCCCTGTGACCCTTCCAGCTTCACCGCTCTCTCCTTCTTCTTCGCAATCCTCAGATTCAACTGCTTCGCAACCGCCACCACCTTCCCCATTATCTCCGCCGGACTCTCATCGGAGACGAACTGATCGCAATGATCCGGCGTCACGAAGTTCCCGAACAAACCTGTAAGATTCGCTGTCGACGCAGACGCGATTAACTCAAACGCGTTTAGCTCCTTCCCGCTTTCTTCGAGATCGTAATCATCAATTTGTATCCCAACGACTTCGCTCGGATCTACTCCGTGATTGAACCAAGGATCGTTGAGAATCTCCTCCACGGTTATCCGTCTCTCCGGATTCGGTTCTAATAAACGGCGGAGAAGGTTCCGTAGCTCGGGAGAAGTCCACTCAGGTATGGTGTACTGAGCCGTACGGATTTTTCGGTACAGTCCCGAGATATTTGAATCTCTAAACGGCAAGTTACCCGCGTTTAGAAGAAACAAAACGACGCCGCATGACCATATATCCGCCTTCGATCCATCGTATCCTTTCTTCGTTAAAAGCTCTGGCGCCACGTAAGCAGGAGTACCACAAAGAGTATGTAACATCCCATCCGCTTTGATCTGCTCCTTCATCGCGCTTAGGCCAAAGTCAGAGACCTTCAGATCTCGATTCTCGTCGAGGAGGAGATTCTCCGGCTTCAGATCACGGTGGTAAACCCCCCTCGCGTGGCAGTACCTCACGGCGGAGATCAATTGCCGGAAATATTTCCGGCTGAGACCTTCCGTGAAACGGTTGCTCGAGACTCTTGAGAACAGCTCTCCTCCTTTAGCTAGCTCCATGACGAAGTAGATCTTCGTCCTGGTCGCGAGGACTTCGGAGAGGAGGACGATGTGAGGGTGACGGAGACGGCGCATGACGGAGATTTCTCTCTTGACGTGCGCCGTGAGTCCGTCTTTCAAACGTTTCTTCTGGACGATTTTGATCGCGACGCTTTCGCGGTTGTTGTGGAGATCCTCCGCTTGGAAGACTTTGGCGAACGCGCCGCTTCCGAGAAGCTTCCCGAGGTCGTATTTGCCGAATAAGGCGGATTTGTTATCGTCTCCGTCGACGTTGACGATGATGGAGTCGGAAGAGTCATCGCCGGCCATTTTTTTTTAAACAGTGATACGAATTGAAAAGACATGGGCGGGGGTGCGTTCTTTTAAATAAAACTCTTCAATTTGCCACGTCAGCTGATTAAAAAATTTATTTGATTTTCTATGGATATGTCATCATATACGACGATTTCAATGCAATACTCTTATATAATTTTACTAATCGGAATATATTAACCAGGTTAGGAAGAAAGAGGCTCGTTCCTCCTACCTTTATCAAGAAAACAAACATGCTTATTGCTTGTTTTAGGTAAATTAAAGATAATCTCTTTTCAAAAATAACTTTTTAATATTTTCCTTCATGTTCTTTCTTTTGTTAATTACGGCATCTAAAACATCTTTCTTTTCAGGTCAACCAAAATATTCGAATTCCAGGTGGGTTCAGACTTTATAATTATATGGGAGCTGCAAAAACTCGATGTAAATACAAAAATATATGACTTTCATCATTGACTATTAAAAAACTTTTATACAATATCAAAAGCAATTTAAAAGTCTTTTACAAATATGGAAAACAATAACGTGGATGGACGTTACTGTCGTTGAATGTTAAGCAATATTCATGTAGGTGGTTTATTATGAGTCACTACTGATTTAGATGGTAATTAAGTTGGTTTAAAGGTTGTTCGAACAATTCGTGTACTCTCTTGCAGACAAAGTGATATTTGGGTAAGAAAATGTCAGATCTTTAGAAGTCTGAAAGATTTATGCCTTGGTTTATCATCTGAAGTGATACATTATATTATTGAGAGTACTATTCTCAACTCAAGATATCATTCATCTTGAATGTGATTTACAATTGATTTACGTTAAAATAGATGATTAAAATCTCCAATTGCGAAATCAAGTTCAAAAAAAAAAAAAAAGTTCAGATAAAAGTAAAGCAAACCGAACTGAGTTAGTAGTTCCCAAGTAAACCAGACCAGATTCCAAGTAAACCGGGTTGAATATGTGAGGCATACGGTATACCTCAACATGCAAGAGACTATGAACTCTTTTGCATAGACGAGACAAGAGTGGTCGCTTCCATTATAAATCATAACTTTCTGATTTTGTGGAGTGGCTATTCCATAATAGGGAACTATTGCTCTCACTGAAGACAAAACTCTCTGAAGAAACAATATCAATGAAGGAATAGGCATTCTCCTGTAGGAACTGGAGCATTCTTTTGGTTTGTGTGAAATACAAAGAGTTTAAAGAATCCCGTATAATTGAGACGCTTAGCATTAACCTCCTGCTACAATCATTTGTACAAGTTTACTTAAGCTTCATTTTATCAACAGTTTTATTTAGACATTTTAACACAAATTTTTTTAAAAATATTAAAATACATTTATATTTTTAATAATTATATATAATTAACCAATAGTGTAAACTAATGTATTTTTAATTAATTTTAAAATTTAAGTAGGCAAAAATTACAATGTAATTTAAAGTAACATTTTGTAATAAAAAATGAAGATGACATTCTTTATGATATACAGGAAATAACATTTTCCTGTCAGTAAATAACAATTTAATTGAGTGACAACAATAAATTTACCTTTGAATATTGTTTGAACTTCAATGCAGCATCAAATTATTATTCTTTATTAGCTGGAAATTAAAAATTAAAAAGATTAATAGAAATAGATAAGTTTTGTCATAATTTATTGGAAGCTAGATTCGTGGATCCAAGTCATTTGTGGTTGGAGTGAAACAATATTAGGACCCGTTACGGTGTTGAAAAGGCCAAACTTTAAACCTGACACTTGTTCAAAAACTATCATATTCACAAAATAATGGTGGTAACTAATAAAAGATACAAAGGCAAAAACTGGACAACAAGTAAGGAAAAACTCTTGATCATTCATGTTTTTCCTCATGAACGGGATAACTTTCGTTGACAAAAAAGGGATAACTTTCGTAATGGTGGATTTATATTGTCACAAATTCAATTTAATAACGTTTTGCCAAAGTATAAAGACTTGTCTATGTGACTCAATCACCTGTTTAAAAATAATGTATTTATATTAGATATTTTAAATAGTTTATACCCTCATGATAAAAAAATTTTTTGGATTTTTAACATGATGATGATCTATCTAAGTACGTAGTTGCTCAAAGAAAAAGATGATCTAAGTACGTATGCCTTTCGTCAGTATCATCACAACCATATACACCGACCACCGTCATCTCAATCTAGGAAATTCTTCTTTACCAGAGATCATGCATCATGGTTTTGGTTTTATACAAATATTAAAAAATTGAGGGAGCGGAGTTCAGAAAAGAAAAACGAAAATGGATGTAACGATTATTAAATTCAAAATCTTGTATTGCGATCTTTTCATAAGCTTAATTACGAAGTCTTTGGTCATATGCAATACTATTTTTTATCCCAAAACTCATCAAGAACACGTACAACAACAAAAATTGCATTGTGTGTTTTTTTGACATCGATAATATTGAGTTCAAGCAAAAAAGACAATCAATTCTATGTTGGCATATAATAAAAAGACACATATTCTTTTATCTTTGATCAAAATACACATCTTTTTGTGTTGGTTTCTTTTGTTGCCTTTGTGTTACATATACAAGTACAACCGAAGGTTCAACCTAATAAATAAACACACTGTATACCATTCCATTATCCAACATTCCAATGTACGCATGTCTCATCTCCCACAAAAGAAGAGGTATATATATCGAGAGAGAGATCTAAGTGGCCGTATGGGATACATAACTCCAAAAGGATTGGAAGAAAAATAGTAGGAGCAACGCAGTGATAATCTGATGGGTCAGAGAAAACGTTTTGGAAGTTTTTGTCATAGAAGAATGTGATAAGAAAAGAGACATGCACTTGAGCTCTATGGAGAAGGAAGTGCGCGAGCCATACACATCTGGATGATAAATAATTTCTCCTTGTCGACATTTGAACTCTCCTAAGCTCCATTCCTAGAGTATCACAAGATTTTAACTCATGCAACATATGTATATAATCTTGAAGTGCTCATATAACATACCTCAAGCTGGCGACCAAAAGTGACGAGAATAGTATCAGGATCTGCATGGAAAGAAAGTTGGCCGCCTTTCC